CATCGAAGCAAGGCAACTGCGAATGCCTATTCCCGACTACATAATAAGGGCTGGAGGCCATTTGGCCTCCACCCACGTCTTCATTTTCGGAACTTGACAGTTCCGCTTCATTCTCGTCCAACCACTCGCAATGTTCCTCTCCTTACCAATTTCAGAAACAACCACCGAGACATATTTTCAAGTAGCTAGGATGTTTACGCTGAAGGGCCACATGATAGCGCCCGTGATTATACTTGGCGTACGCTCAACTGAGACAGAAGTGCGCCGGACGAAACGGCCACTGGCGCGCCAGAGACGAAATCGCCACTTTCGCCAGTGGCACGTGCCAGAGACGAAATCGCCAGTGGCGCGCGGCAGGGACGAAAGCGCCACTGGCGCCAGTGGCGCGCGCCAGTGACAAAATCGCCACTGGCGCCAGTGACGAAATCGCCACTGGCGCCAGTGGCGCGTGCCACTGACGAAATCGCCACACGCGCGCCTGTGGCGAAATCGCCACTTGCGCCAGTGGCGACATTGCCACTAGCGCGTCAGGGACGAAAGGGACACAGGCGCAGCAGTGACGAAACTGCCACTCTAGCGCCTGTGCCATTGACTGCAGCGTCACCCACCTGCGCACCTTGTCACCTCACCTACACATTGTGTTGCGATGCATATGCTGCAAATCTTCTTCAGACTTTTCCTCATTTTTTTTTTCTTTTATTTTCTGTTGTTTCTTTTCTCTGACTAATTCCGATGCCATGATTTTAATTCCTTGGTGGCAGAAAAACGGGCACGTGATGTCGATGGTGAAGGGACGCGCACCAAACTCCACCACTCGTGCGGAAAATCGAAACGACTACCGGACCTACTCCACGCGCACCCAACGTCGTTCTCGATGAACTCAAGGACCGAGAGTCGCAACGTCGCCCCGAGAGCCGTCCCCCAGGGGGGGAGGGGACCGAGGGTCCCCATGCTGGCCTGAGAGCTGTCCCCCAGGGGGGGAGGGGACCAAGGGTCCCCATGCTGGCCTGAGAGCCGTTCCCCAGGGGGGGAGGGGACCAAGGGTCCCCATGCTGGCCTGAGAGCAGTCCCCCAAGGGGGGAGAGGACCAAGGGTCCCCATGCTGGCCTGAGAGCCGTCCCCCAAGGGGGGAGGGGACCGAGGGTCCCCATGCTGGCCTGAGAGCCGTCCCCCAGGGGGGGAGGGGACCGAGGGTCCCCATGCTGGCCTGAGGGCCGTCCCCCAGGGGGGGAGGGGACCGAGGGTCCCCATGCTGGCCTGAGAGCCGTCCCCCAGGGGGGGAGGGGACCAAGGGTCCCCATGCTGGCCTGAGAGCCGCCCCCCAGAGCGCCACTGCCTCAGGGAGGGAAAGAAAACGGACAAAAACTGAGATTGGGAAAACCACACTTACCGGTATTGTGCAGGTGGATATGTTGTAACCTTGGCTATTGTGTTTCAAGTTATGAATGATTTCAAAAAAAAAAAAAAAAAAAAGGAGCAGTCCTTGCTGTCGTTGGATGTTGGAGCCACACCACACCACAAGCTATGTTTGGACTAAGCTTACTAAGCTTTCGGCCTCTCGCGCTCAGTTACGACGGACATATGTTTTCGTATACGAATGTACCACCAGTGTATAGTGAACATAAAAACAAAAAACAAAAAAACAAAAAAAAAACAAAAAATGTTTGGACTTACCGGGGTAAGGTTGGTAGTGTGCAACTACTAGTGGCAAGGATAGATATTGGATCTGATTTTGTCACTCACCTACACGCAATCAAGTTATCAAACGAGGGTTGCATGGAGAGAAACATGCCTCTTAAGCGTCACCGCATTTACTCCTACCGCACCTCAGTGTTGTCACTCTTGACAATATAAGGGAAATCTAATCATGTACGGTACCAAACGTCAATGCAACTTGCATTTAGTTACCCAGTAATCGCTCGCACTTCGACAACCTACAGGCAATGTGTTGAGAGGAGTACGGGACTCACATGGGTGGCAGGCGCACTTGTTGTCGTTGTCCTGTCTCGCCATCATACCATAGTACCACATACGGATGAGCAATCGAGAGACCAAGAGACGAGCAACCGAGGGGCCAAGAGATGACCAGCAGATGGGCCAGAAGACGAGGAACCGAGGGGCCAAGAGATGACTAGCAGATGGGCCACAAGACGAGGAACCGATGGGCCAAGCCAAGAGATAAGATACCGATGGGCCAAGAGATGAGCAACTGATGGGCCAAGAGAGGGGCAACCGATGGGCCAAGCTAAGAGATGAGACATCGATGGGCCAAGAGATGAGCAACTGATGGGCCAAGAGATGAGCAACCGAGGGGCCAAGCCAAGACATACGATCTCGATGGGCCAAGAGATATGCAACTGATGGGCCAAGGGATGAGCAACCGAGGGGCCAATCGATAACCAGCGGATGGGTCACGAGATGAGGAACCGATGGGCCAAGAGATGAGCAATCGATGCGTCAAGCCAAGAGATGAGATATTGATGAGCCAAGCGATGAGCAACTGGTGGGCCAAGGGATGAGCAACCGATGGGCCAAGAGATGCGCGATGGATGGGCCACGTGACGAGCAACCGATGGGCCAAACCATGAGCAACCGATGGGCCAAGAGATTAGCAGCTGATGGGCCAAGAGACGAGCAACAGATGGGCCAAGAGATGGGCAACCGATCTGACAAGAGATGAGCAACCGATGGGCTAAGAGATGAGCAACCGATGGGCCAAGAGATGAGCAATCGGTCGGCCAAGAGATGAGCAACTGATAGGCCAAGGAAGGAGCAACAGATAAGAGATGAGCATCTGATAGGGCAACAGATGAGCAACCGAGGGGCCAGTAACCCGTGCTTCGAGGCACCTCATCACGCTCTTCCACATATACGTACTGTTGTGCGACATTATTTCTTTCCGAACCAATTGGCACCCCCATTGGATCTACGAATCTTGCGAATACGGCTATCAACATCCAATACCGTCCCGGTCGTGGAAACTTCGAACTTGGTGCACTTGCGGTCACTCATTACGACGACGTCCCGTTTATCCAATGTTCGTCTGCAACTTACACGCCCTCAGTCATAAAAAGTCATGACGCACCTTTTAGAAGATCGCTTAACATTTGTTGGCGAGCCCACCAACATTAACGCAGCCAAATGACACCCGTTCCCCCAATAAAGTCCTTGATCTTGGACCGTCCTCTCCACTTTCAAACTCAAGCTTGCCATATGCATGTCACATACGGAGGAGCATGCACTCTTTCTAACACGTCATTAGTATGTGGCCCTACACCCCACCATTCACGACGAAGCACGAAAAACACGGCATCAGTCCTTGCGCAACACCGTGAGCTTCCGACCTACCTCATGGATCGTCTATAGCAACTACCGTATGGCCCCGGATATAGGCGCCGGCCTATTACAGGCGCCGGCGCTTCTATCTGGAGCATGGCGCTTATGGCCGATCCTCGATTATAAGCGCCCCCCCTGGAAAACCATTACTTATTATAAGCGCCCCGTGCATTTTTATTTAAATATCAGTTTAAATCGGTAACGAATTTCAGTTTTGCAGCGAGTCAAATTTCATTTTCGCTTTGTTTGACTCGCGAAGACCTGACTGGCTGCGCGTCCAGTCAGGATGTGCTGGCATGCCTGCAAAGTGACGCGAATTTGCCCATGTACAGGAAGCAGAATCGTTTGCGCGCGATTCTGCTTTGTGACGCTATAATAGTTCGACTCGTTTGAAATTGCTACAACGAAAGGTACAGTTTGGTCCCTTAAAAATTAAAAATTGTATTTGTCATTATATAAGCGCCGGCGCTTATGGCCGTTCCTCAATTACAAGCGCCACCCCTGAAAAAAAATAACTTATTATAAGCGCATATGCGCTTTTATCCGGGGCCATACGGTATCTTCTCTGCCTCACATGCCAGCGCAGCATTCATTATGAACCGTCTTCCACTCCAACAACAACCATCGGCACAATCATCTACCTAAGTAGGCAGCAACCCGCATAACCACCTCAACATGGAGCACAACGTCAGACAGACACCAACAATCGCTATTACTTGACACCGCCCTCAACCGGCCCTGCAATCTGCACTTCGTCAACGTACGCACATGTCTCAGAAGACCCAATTTAAATGAAGCACGTTGCCTTGCAAGAACAAGAAAGCAAGCTTTCTTAATATGAATTTTTTGAAAGTGTGTAACACTTTCTAAAAATATGTATTTAAATGAAGCACGTTGCCCCAATTTAAATGAAGCACGTTGCCTTGCAAGAACAAGAAAGCAAGCTTTCTTAATATGATTTTTTTGAAAGTGTGTAACACTTTCTAAAAATTGCACACCAAGATATGCAACAGAAAAGCCCCCCTCCCCCCCCCCTCCCCCCCCTCCACCCCAGCCCTGGCCAAACTGGTGTCCATCCATCACATTTTGATTGTGAAAAAGGTATGGTACTCCTCAATTGGTTTTGCATCTCTTTATGAGAATCAATACGTAGTATGATACACCCTCAAGTTCACAGGAATGTCTCTTGCGTAACTAGAGATGTTCGCACTGCAGTAACCCAAGGAGAGGATGAACTCGCATCACAAGCCACAAGTGCAACAGCCTGGGTCAACAGTCTGAGGAATTCACCCTCTACTGCTATAAATATCATGACTGGGATGGGAAACCCATAGCCTATAAATCTTTAGCGCACAGCAATCCTACGACTCAAACCCTACAACTAAGCAGCGGCTCTTCTACAGCAGCCAGAGTGCTGCGGCTGCCTTTGGCATGCAGGAAGGTGAAGGAGTGCCGTGGTCAGAGGCGCTACATTGTGCAGCACCAGTTGAGGCGCTACATTGTGCAGCACCAGTTGAGGCGCTGCATTGTGCAGCACCAGTTGAGGCGCACAGCCTGCTCGCACCCATCCATCCCCACACCGCCATGGCCCACACTCGTGCTCCCAATCCCATCCCTGCTGCCCCTGCCTGCCATGCGCCTGTGCAAGCCCACGCCTTATTCCATCAACCATCACGCCGCACTGCACACGCCCTCAGCCCTAAGCCATGCCCCATGGCCCACCCCGTGCCTGCTGCTCTGCTGCCTGCCACACCACCTTCACCTGCAGATGCGCTGCTGCCCCGCAGAGCGGCTCCCAACCCCCCGTGCATGCAGGGACGGCAGCGGAAAGATGCTGCAGAGGGCATGGGGCGGCAGGGGGGGCTGCCGGCAGTCTCGAGAGGAGGCTGCCTCGCACTCCGCGCTCAGCGGGTTAGCTTGCTCGCCTGCCGCTCCTGCACCCGCACGCGCAATTCTACCCTGCTACACGCGCTATTGGGGTGGCTGGGTGGCTGGCGGCTGGATGGCTGGCGGCTGGATGGCTAGATGGCAGGATGGATGGATGTGCGGATGATGGATGGGTGGTGCATGCACAGCGCGTCCACGACTTGCCCCACAACTGCTACGCTGGAAAAACAAAATGCTCAGCGCCTCGTGCGCCGTTCACTGGACCAGCAGCCCCAAAGTGGCAGCCGGCTGCAAAATAAATAGAATGGAGTGGCAGAGCGTACCCCCGCCTTCTTCCCGTGACGCGCGCGCGGCTATCAGTCCTTGGCGCACGAGCGTCTCTGCCACGCGAACCTGTGCTCCTCCAGGCCCTCGCTCACGTCGTGGGGCAGCGCGCGCATCCAGTCCCAGTCCGCGGCGACCTTGCGCAGCACGCGCAGCTTGGAGTCGAGTCCGAAGCAGCACGTGGCGTGCACCGTCACCAGCTCCGCCATCCGCGCGCCCATCTCGCAGAACCCGCCGAAGTGCGCCGTCGGCAGGTAGCGCACCGTGAGCGGCGTGGCGGTGCGCGTGAAGGGGTTGGCCTCGGGGCGGATCCAGTCAAAGATCTGCTGAATGCGGTGCTTCGGTAGCCTGCCGCGCACACGCCACGGGGAGGGGGAGGGAGGAGCGGGAGAGGGGGGGGGGAGGAGGGAACGGAGAAATAGTTCGAGTGGGAGTGAGAGAGAGCGGGGCCAAGCAGAGCTGGTGTGGGAGAAGCGGGCGCGGAAGCAGCGGGCAGTAGGAGGCAGGCGCGAGAGATGGCAGCATTGCGGCAGGGAGGGGCGAGTGGGGCGAGGGCGCTCACCGCTTGTGCCAGGCGATCCAGTCGTCGAAGAACTTGAGCATGCGCGTGTTGCTGCGCGCCGCGTAGAAGCCGCCGTTGCCCATCACCTTGCGCGAGTCGGCGTTCCACCAGTCGACGCTCATGTGCATGTCCTCGGGCGCGGCGAGCAGCAGCTGCGGCAGCGGGTTGCGCAGCCAGAGGATGTCGTTGTCCGTGAACACCACGTCGTACCCCAGCGCCAGCATGCTGCGCACCACGTGCACCTTGCGCCACACGAGGTGGATGTACGCGGGCGTCATGAAGTGCTTCTGGTCGCCGCTGAAGTCCTCCTTCTCCTCCGCGTCGTCCTGCCAGTCGAAGTAGCAGTGCAGCCCCAGCGAGCAGCACTCGTCGAAGCTCGCGTCGTCGTACGCCACCACCACCAGCCGATCCACCAGCTGGTTCAGCCCCCCCTCCGCTTCCGCCTCCCCCTCCGCGCGCGCCTGCTGTTCGACGAGGCGGAGGCGGTCGAGGAAGAAGCGCATCATGGGCGCCCACGCCTCCGACAGCGCCGTCACGATCACCGTGCGCGACAGCGACGACGCCGCCGACGCCTCCACCATGTTGTCGGCGGCCAACTTGCCGTCGCCGCCATCCTCTGCCGCCGCCATCTGCTGCGGCGCCTCGGGGAACGGGCGATCCAGGTCCAGCAGCCCGCTGGGCCCGCCGTACTCCTCTTCCAACGCCGCCGCTAGCGCCGCCGCTGCTGACGGATCGCCACCGGCGGCCGTTAATGCTCCGTCAAGCACCTCCTTGAGCGTTCTGACGACGACGGACGCGCGGGGATGGGGAGAGGGGCGGGACAATGGAGCAGATTGGGAAAAGAGGAGAGGCGCAGGGGAAGCAGCACGAGAGCCGCGCGAACCGAAAAGCGCGTCACAATCGACAAGGCTGCGGCGATCAAAAAGTGACGGAACAGCAACACGCTCCACAACATAAAAACGCGCTAACAGCTTGCTCGAATCAATCTCAAGTGATTCACCACTTGAAACACGGACAGAGAAACGTGCGCGCAAGAGACGTCGTAGCGACATACCTGCATTTCGAACAGGTCGCGGATGGTTTACTGGTGAGTGGTTGGTCGGAAGGCGGTTGTTTGGCGGACGAAGCGGTAAGCGACGCGAGGAACGACTGTGGTGGTCTGTCGGTCTCGTCGAGAGCTCGTCGCGGCACGGATGTCGACGACGACGGCCACTCCAATTCCGGTCTTATCGCACCATTGCTGCGGCCAAGGTCTCGTATTTGGTTGCCGCACACGCCCTCGCGAGTCTGATCCAACATCACTCTCGCGGCCCTCGCTGGAACCGCCGCTACTCTCGGCTTCGCAGGGTGCAACCGGACGGCGACGAGCCCGAGCGACGCGACGGTGAAGACGGTTAGCAGCAGCCACAGGCGCGGCAGTCCAAAGTTCCGCATGGTGAGGCGCGGCCAGGAGGCGGTGGGGCTGAGAGAGATGGCGCAGAGCACGGACGCATACGGCGACGCGAAGTGCGACGACGCGGTGAGCGGGTGGGCGCTGCTGTGTCTGGAGGAGTGGAGCGAGTGCGGCTGCGACCTAAGAAATGGCGGGCTTAGCGTGGACGAACATCTACTGTCGCGCTCCAACGGCCCTGGCTCTGTGCACGCTCCCATCTAGGGACCGGCAGATTGTCGATGTGAAGCCCTGCTGCCCGTCGTACTATGAGTCAAACCTAAATCACGCAGATGCACCTAGTAGTGAAGTCGTGTGCTTTAATTTTTTTTAGCTTCGCTAACGTCGGAGGCCCCTAGGCTGAAACTTTATAACTGAAGGTTATCCTGAGAAGCAAGCAGAGCGTCAAGCACGGCAGGATTGATGCTGGCATGCAACTTATCAGGATGGTTGGTAATGTGGGAGCAGAGTTGACTCATCATGGGCAAAGCTTCAAGAAACTCACGACGACAACCTCCGCACAGCTCTCCGCTTCCCTCCAGAATCAACTCGCCCTTCCTCACCGCCTCTTCTTGCTCTTGTTTGTTACTAACCCCGTTTAGGTTTCGGTGCCTTCGCACGGCTGTGAGTGACCACCACCACTGGCCAAGCCCGAGGAGGGCCACACAACACCACCCGCCGGAACGCAAATTGTGATCCGCTTCCTTGCCTCCGCCCGCTGCCACAAACATGCTTGGCGCGCTGTTCCGCCTGGGTGCTGTCCGTGGATGCCTCGGCCCATCCATCCTTCTCGCGCCATACTTGTCCCCCCTAGAGCTGAGGGCGGTGAGCCGGTGGTGGTGGGCGAGGCACTGAAGTGGTCGCCGAACTAGGCTTCAGATCAAATATGCCAAGATGTAGGTTCGGCCAACGCTAGGGCTGCAAACGGACAATGAGCCTGGAAGAGGCACGGTGACACTGTGTACAAGCACGTACGTTGTTGAAGCGCCAAGGCGCGGGAATACCCGCAACGGTTTGCGTTGTGGGGCCCCGACGCGGCTTGCCTTATAAACGCCTGAACCTGCCTGATTCTTATGGAACTACCCCTTCAAATTCAGTCATGCATTATAAATCCTCTGCATGTTAAAAACAGTTTGATGTGTAGGAAAGTTTCGAAGGTTGCAAAAGGCACCTCGACACGTCAGAGGCACTTCACATACCATTTACGCCCGGCTTGGACATAGAGTGGGGGCGTAGAATGACTCTACCTGTGTTTACGGACCAGAAGTACTGATGTTTATCTAAGGCCCTTTTGGCTTCGGCAGTTGAGGACCATTCTTGCCTATGCCATGCTTGCTGGATACGACCATAACAGAACGTCAAAACTCTGAACCAAAACAGGGCAAAATAAAAACAGAAGTACTCTGTATTAAGGTCTACTTTGTTCGTGCTGGGTGAGGGCTGGGTGAGGGCAGTTGCCCAACCACCATAACTCCCTGCCCTGCTAGGCCTAGGGCTTTTCTATCACGACCAATCAGCTTCAGATTATGTGAACCACAGCGAGCACATAACACATAAGCACATATTGTTATTGAATCGAGGACTGTGTCTTTTCCAAGGTCTCTAAACACTTGATGAATGAGGAACATTTAGTCTAATGTATCTCATATACCCCATGATTACCTATATTTGTTATTCAATACTTGGTCATGAAATAACGTATATTTTGGTTCTTAAATTACATACATCAGTGTTAATTTGTGTATATGTTGAAATCTTTGGGCCTGGTTATCACGTTATTCTGCATGTGGCGAATCTAGCTATGCAAGTAAATAAGATAACTAAGGATGGAGTGTGGTGGATCCCTGTTATGGAGATTCTTCCTAGTGCAGTACGATGTCCTACTGACAGAATGAAGAGTTTGTGTCCAGCGAGGCGTGTCCATGCCACCCCTGCCCGAGGTCAGCGAATAGGAGCGGTTGGAGCTTTAGCCGGGCAGCTAAGGTGGCACAAGTGTTGGACGAAAGGGCACCAGGTTCTGGGAAGTCACGCATTAAACTTATGTTTCGCTGCCCGTGAATCCATCACTCGTTCCTGAATCCTTCCCTCCAAATATTTCCCGCCTGTCCCTCCTACCCGACGGGCCCCATCACCGTCTGACAATAAAGATCACGATTCATGTCCGCGAGAATTTATTCACCCTGCCATCTCGAATCTCGACTAACGTCGGGATCTCCGCTCCACAACTGCTAAGTACACCTAGTCTCATCCTTCCCGGGTGAATCCTTCAGCGATACGTCCTTAGGAAAGCCTGCTCCATTTCCCACTCTAGACAGACCCGGAGCCGCTACATGGCTCCTAATGCCATGTCGCAACCATCGCAGCCCTCATCAGCCGGAAGAGCTTCCGGCAAGCAGGCGGTTCCGTTCAAGCCGGATCTGACGAAGCCGTTGGTGTTCCAGGTGGGGTATCTGGGGGAGCACTACGACGACTGGGTGCACCAACCCATCATCAGCAGAACGGGACCGCGCCTCTTCGGGCCGGACTGGATGGAGTTCTTCACGCAGACGCACTGGTGGATGATCCCGCTCGTCTGGCTTCCCGTCATCGCCTTCGCCGAGTACCGCGCCGCGCTCGCCGGCACGCCCAAGGTTCTCGTCGCGCCGTTTTTCGCGCTGGGGCTGGTGGTGTGGACGCTGATGGAGTATAGTCTACACCGCTTCTTATTCCACTACCGCACGACGGGCTATTGGACCAACACGCTGCACTACCTGCTGCACGGCTGCCACCACAAGCACCCGCAGGACCGCTTTCGCCTCGTCATGCCGCCTGTGCTCTTCGCGACGCTGTCCACCGTGGTGGCGATACCGTTCTTCGTGGTGTTCCCGGGGTTCCTGGTGTGGCCCGTGTACGCGGGAGCCATCTTCGGGTACATTTGCTACGACATGACGCACTACTTCGTGCACTTCGGCGTGCCGCTCGAGCTCGAGTGGATCCGCTTCCTGCGGCGCTACCACATGGCGCACCACTTCAAGGAGTACAACGCGGGATTCGGCATCACCAACTCCTTCTGGGACAAGGTCTTCGGCACCTACCCCTCCGACGACCCCAAGAAGGCGGACGCGGCCAGCAAGGCGGACGCGGCGGGCAAGGCAATGTAGGGTTGCTGTCGCCCTGTAGATTGATTCACAGTTCGGGTGCTGCGGTAGGTTTTCTATTTCTAGGCTGAATTAGTGATTCCCCGAGTGCCTATGGTTCAGAGATGAGCATAGGATGAACATAAATGGCTGTTGCTAGCCTGTACTCTACATGATCTATGCGTGTGTCGTTTGTGCCAGGCCTGCCGGCCATTGTTGATGCTCTGCTCTGATCCTCTCCACACCCAGCTGGTACGGGGCATGGCCCTTACAGAGGCTCCCATGTTCCCAAACCATAAGGATACTACGCTTTTAGGCTCTGTGCTGGTAGCCCTGAATTTGATGAGAATTAAGGTAGAGTGCTGTGCATTGCTCTACTATGCATCTTTCAAAGCTGGATCATGTCACTTCCAAAGTGGGCATTTTCTGTTCGGGTTATTAGTTCAAGGTCCATCAGTTGCATTGCAGCCAGGAGAGTTGAATGTGAAACTTGGCTTCAGTGGGCAGTGTGTTGCTCTAGATTTGAACGTTTTTCTTACAGCTACCTATACACATTAGAAGCTACAGTAGTCTACCAAACAATGGACCCCGCCAACCGAACAGGTTAGCACTGCAACCACTCTTGCGAGCAGGCAAGTCAGACAAGATCAGAAGCCAATTATATCGCGCAACGCAAGGAAGGCCGGCACGGCTTCTTGGTCGAATTTTCTGGCAAAGAGAAAGCAGTGTGTGGGCCGGCCTGCCACTGTGCATGGCCGTGAGGGCGACTGCTTGAGGTAGCCCACTGTTTCAGCTGGTGGGAATCGACTCCGCTGCAACACAGCAAGGCAACCAGACGGATCAGTTGAACCGGTCAAGACAGAACCAAAAGGCACAGACAGGACTCGTCAAGGACTGGCAGGCAGGTGAAGAGATGGAGGGGTGGGGACGTACTTGCAAGGAGAGGATGAATTCCCTGGTGACTTGACTCGTGCTGTAGCTCATGGGGTGGCTGGACGAGGACGTGAACCAGTGCACGTACAGCACACTGCGCGGCTCCACCGCCTTCCGGTCCAGCATCTGAACGGCGGAGAGGACAGGCAGGAGGGAGAGAGCAGCAGGCAATGGTGAGGAAGGCAGCGCGTTTCAGTTAACTTCAAGTGCAGAGAACGACAGCAAGTCAGGAACGTGCGAGGTTGGGGTGACAGTGGGCTTAGGTGCTTACAGCAAGGATGGTTTGAATGTAGCTCTCGTCGGGAATCTGCAAGCAGCGCACAGGCAAGACACGCACGGAGAGACCGAGGGCAGGAAGAATGCGAGTGTAAGCAAGCAAGCTAGTCTGGGTGGAGGGAAGGGCGAGGCTCAAAGGCGAAATGGGCGATGATGCAGCGTGGGAGTGGGGAACATGTGAGAGGCGCATGGGGGCAGTGGGGCGCACCTCAGCGTTAGTTTTGACGAAGGTCTCGTAGAACTTGCTGTCCTCCACCACCTTGGCTGCATGCGCTCGCGTCAGCGCGAACCACTGCACACGTACACGCGCACGGAAGGTGGGCGGGAGGGGAACAGGTGTAAGCCACAGGGGAGGATCGTCAAAGTTGAGCCGCAGCAGAGGTGCCTGTTGAGTCGACTCAAATGGTCAAACAGAAAGGGGCTCACAGCAACAAGCCTACAGCCCAAGCGCCTCACCTGCGCCCCCCAAGCGCCTCACCTGCGCCCCCAAGTCCCTCAACTGTGCACCCAAGTGCCTCACCTGCGCCCCCCCAGCGCCTCAACTGTGCCTCCCACGCGGCTCACCTGCGATCCCTTTTTAAAGTCCTGGCCCTTGATGACCGGCGCCATCTCCTTGCGGTACCGCCACACGCTCGCATGGCTGCTCGCACGCACGGGGAAGGGAGGGGAGAGGAGGAGGATCGGGAAGGCGAGGTGGACAGGGGAGAGGACAGATGGTTAGCCGGAGGGACAAATGGGTGGAGCAGAGAGCATTAGCGCGGATGAGAATCAAAAGAGCAAGGTGAGAGAGGTGAGGCGGGAAGAGAGAGGGATTGTTTGTCACGTACTTTGCTTCAAGAATATGTATATCCTTTGTTTTTCCTCGTCTTTTCGCACGCTACGACTTCACACAAGCTGGCTACGGTGCGCTACCTCGTAACGAAGCATACCTTGTAACGAAGCTCTTGTCGGACGCCATGAGGTAGTCGAAGACGTGCGTGAAGTTGAACAGCGGCAGACACCTGCGCCCACCGCGGCGACGGGCAGCGGCGAGCAGGGTGGGGAAGGGGGAGAACAAACAGGGGGCGGGGGGAAGGGGGAGGGAGGCGAGGAGGGAAGCATTGAGGCGGTGTGCTTGGCACATGCGCTTATCATCCTATGCCTGCCAATCGGCTGGTGACACGTGCTAAGAGAGCGCGCTACACTAAATTTCAATCCGCGAGAACTTCGCCACGACTCCCTCCCCACCCTCCCCCGCAAGGAGCACAACTCCACCCCCTACAATCTCCACCCCTTTCCCGCACTCACGACTCCGACAGCAGAACGAAGCGCTGGTTGGCGGGATCCGCAAGCGCCGCGGCGAGCAGCCGGCGCTCCGCGCGGATGAGGTTGGGACCGCCCCACGTGATCTGGAGAGGGGGAGTGGGGGGATGGGGCGCGGAGAGGAGGGAGAGTGAGGAGGAACGCGAAGGAGTACGGAACACGACGGGGCGAGGCAAGGCAAGACGGTACATGACACGAGTGAAGTGGTTCCATGATGACGCGCCACTTCGAGCACTACTGGAAGCGAGAAACGCGAGAAAGTGGACGGAGAACCTGCCGTGGGGACGCCTGGCAGACGAACTCCGGCGAAGAGAGGGGCCTGCGGAATAGCCGAGAGTGCGGGCGGGCTTACAGGAACGCTGGGTATTTGGCGGCCGCGAAAGACGGAAGAGTTGACGTGCTTGTCGCATTCGTAATCGGCGGTGGAGGCGTGGATGTAGATGGAGTAGCGCCCCTCGTGGCCCTGCCGCGCGCACATTGGGGGACAGATGGTACGCGGAGTGGGGGAGACACGGAGAGAATGAGATAACGGCGAGCGGAATAGCACGATTATGGCGACGAGACAGGTTCTCCGCTTGGTGCCGTGCCTCATAAGTGAAACCTAGCTTAAAACCGGTGGAATGGAGTATGCGAAGTCCAAACAACAATCCCTGGAGCAGTGACTGAAGGGGGGCATTTAATGCCACGCACACGAGAACTAGCATCGCCGCCACCGGACGATCGCAGAAGCTGCGAGGCGGAGAGGCACGCGCAGGCGCACCGCGACCCGAAAAAAAAAGAGAGAAAAATATGCGAAGGCGGATAGGCGGCTAACACCAAGGTGCGATAGGGAAGAATGTTGTCGCGATTGTCGCACAAGCAGAGCCACGCGCACCTGGAAGAATCTTTGCCAGACTCGCTCGAGCGGAAGCGGTCCTCTGACGAGAAAGAGGAACGCGATCTTGGGCTGCACGGCCGCGAGATCCGTCTGCGTGGGCTGCTCCATGGCTCGCCGAAACATGTCCTGATCCACCGCGTCGATGTTCCCCGTGTCCCACTCCGTCCGCGCCTCCGACCCGCCGCCTACTACCAGTAACCCCAGGTACACTACCCCGGTGGCTATGAGTAGATACGACACGTTGATCACTAACATCGACCAAATGCGAGCCCGTGGGAATCGGAATGACACACGCAATGCCATGGTTTGCTCTGCCTGAAGTGGGCTGTTAGACGCGTGGTTAACAAAGGCTGAAGCTGAATAATCTCGATAGACAGTTTTGGTGGTTTTTTCAAGAACTTCAGTTAGGAGCAAAACGGTGGACGTGGGTCAGGGACACGTGGCTGGCAGAGAGTGAGGTAAAACTGCTTATCTAGGTGGCGAAGCTGCAAGATATTGCTCCCTGAATCAGGTAAAACTACTTATTTAGGTGGCGAAGCTGCAAGAAATTGTTCTCTGGAACACATTCATGAAAGATGCACCAGTGGCGAGTCGTGAGGTATAAATTGCTAATATACCTGGCCAGGCTGGTGAGCAGTGATCAGAAATGTGTTCATGAACGATGGATGCACTGGTTGCAGTGAGTGGAGCAAAGCAGCTGAGCGTTTACCACCCGAGACTGAGACGAACTTAGGACACTGACTGGTGGGAGGAGGGAAGAAGAGGAACAGCGAGGCGTTGAGCAGAGAGAGCTGCGTGGAGTTGGGGGAGGAGGGGCGGGCGAGGCGGGTGTTGTGGGTAAGGCGGGTGCCAGGTGCGCACGCCTGACTACACTTTTGCCGCCGCTTCTGACTGGCCTCGGGTTTGGTTGGTCGTTCCGGTCCGCTGACTGCCCTCGGGAATGCCGCTACGGCTGTCTCTCCGCCCTTGCGGTGGCGCACGGCGCTGCTCCAGCAGAGCATGATCAACCTTAGCGCTCACGGATAGCGCGCGCGTGAGTTCCAGGCGGACGGCGGCGCACTCCTATAATTGCGTGTCCATTGCGCGAATGGGGATGCTTCCTTCCCTGCCTAGGCAGACCCACGAACGAGTCAGCTTCGGCACTCCCCTTACCCCGCACTGCTTCCCTTCCTTTCCTGCAACAGCATCCTCCGCGGTGCTGTTCCCCCATGCGGACCCTTTCGCAAGGACGACCAGCAGAGACTGTTGCAGCCCCGGGGGACTTCTCTGCCAGACTTCGGGGTCACCGCTGTTCCGAGCCAATCAAATTCAACCGAAGTGGGAAGCCAGGCAAGTTTTAGGTTCGGTGGCTTATATGGGACGTGGTTGCGGGGACGGGGGGAGTTTTGGTTGGGCAAGTCGGTATTGGCACACACGTTTGTGAAGTCTGATTGTACGCGGTCAGCGGGAGATCCCGAATGTGCGGCCCAGCAGGGCAGAGGACGTTCCCAAGGTGATGGAATGTTCCGCACGGTGGAAAACCTGCCCCTGCTACATCTTGGTCGTTCAGTTCTATCGGAACTAGACTTCCTAATACGCGTTACAAATCGCGACTCACATTTATCCGTTTCTGAATCAACTTGCACGAGCAACTAAAATCAGGAATGGCTGCTTAACTAGAATTTAAGACATGATGTACAATTAGTATCCAGACCCATAATAACCTCCTGGAGGAGGTCCTGCACCTGGTGCCCCCGCATTTGGACCTTGCTGCCCGCTGCCATAACCAGAATAATAGCCTGCATTGGCTGCACCAGGGGCAGGTGGTTGCTGGTAACCGTTTGCTTCATACGACTGGTACTGCCCAGCACCTGGCGCTCCTGGCCCAGCTGCCCCTGCACCTGGCGAAGGGTTGGCACCGGGGGGGTACTGCTGCTGGTGCTGGTGCTGGTGTTGCTGTTGCTGGTGATAATTGTAGCCAGGAGCAGCGCCCCCTGCTGGTGCTGCACCAGGAGCAGAGTACCCACCGCCATAAGCCTCGGGATGGGGTGCAGGCTGGTTCCATGCACTGCCAGCAGGGGGAGCAGCAGCAGAAGAGTTGGACGTAGGGGCCGAGTAGCCATAACCTGGGTTCTGGCTGTACTCGTTTGCTCCACCCTGCCCTCCGTAGCTGTGCTGTGCGCCCTGCTGCTGCTGCTGCTGCTGCTGCTGCTGCTGCAGCTGCTCCTGTGGCGGAGGCTGCTGCTGGTGCTGCTGCCAACCCTGGTTGCCAGTCTGCTGCTGCCCATAGCCCTCATAGCCGTACCCCCCTCCTCCCTGACCCACTCCCTGACCCTGTGGCACCGCCTGAGCCTGCACCTGACCCTGGGGTTGCACCTGACCCTGGGGTTGCACCTGACCCTGGGGTTGCACCTGACCTTGCGGCTGCCCGTGGGCTTGAGATGGCGCCTGCTGCTGTGGCTTCTGGGGCTGTTGCTGCTGGGGGCGGGGCTGAAGCTGCGGCTGCAGTGGGGGCCGGGGCTGGGCGGGGGGAGGTTGGAACTGGTGGGGGTGCTGCTGGCTGAGCTTGAGGTACACCTGGGCGCGCTGCTGTGCCTGCCGCGACGACAGGCTTGACGCCAGCGCTGTGAACCGCCCGCGGATCTCCTCCATGCGCTGCCGGGGGGAGGGGGGGGGAAGGGTAGGGGACAGAATGGCGGGCAGAGGAGGAATGTGTGGTTGAGAGAGGCAACTGGACCTGCGGCTTCAAGGTGAAGCACATAACACAACCTCAACCTACCATCTACACCAAGGACATAACCCTCCACCACACAATCCCTTCCCCCTCACCGTTCCCTAACTTCCCATCCCCACCCACCCCCCCACCCTCTCTCTTCCCCCATCGTTTCCCCCATCGCCTCCCATCCAGCCATGTGCGCACCAGAGTGTGGCGGTCCGTCTCCTCCTTCTCCTCGCGCGCCTGCGCCTGCTGCAGCGCGCTCGCCTCCGCCGCCACCACGGCCTCTAGCTCCTCCACGGACGACGGCAGCGGGCCCTGCGGCGGCAGCTGCAGCATCGGCATGCCTGGCGGGTGGAGGGGATGGGTGTACGGGTGGGGCGGCAACGGGAGGGCGCGGGGGATGAGCGGAGCAGCGCAGAAACGGGACGGCGGGGAAAGGAGAGAAGCAATTGGCTGTTCATCAGCAATAAGTCGATGAGAGGTAAGAGCGTGCAGCAGGCCATGGCTATGGCTATGTTCATGCCTATAAATATGACTTTGGCTGCGGCTGTGGCCAATGCCATACATGCACGCACTCACCTGCACCACCCATACCACTCGATTCTACCTGTCCCCCATACGCGCCCATGGCGCCCCCAGGCAGCATCGCTCCCATCGCTCCCATCGGTCCCATCGCCCCCATCGCCCCCATCGGCCCCATGGGGCCAACCGCGCCCATCCCCCCCATGGGCCTCACTGCGACCAGCGGCCCCCCATCCGCCGCCATCCCCGCTGCGCCCACCATCGCTCCGCCCGCCTGCCGCTGCGCCTCGAGCTGCGCCGCGATCAGCCTCAGCGTCGCGTCCTCCGCCTCCCCCCCAATCACCATCTCCGCCTCCCCCGCCGCCTCCGCCGTCGCCGCCGCCCACATGCGCTGCTGCTGCTGCAGCTGCTGCTGCGCGGGGTCGTGCGCCAGCGCCGCCAGCGCCATCTGCACTGCCGCCGGCCCGCCCAGTATCCCGCCGCCCTTCCGCAAACTATCCAATTGCAGCTGCTCAATATACCCGCGCACCACGCTCTCCCCCGCCGCGAGCGTGTCGCGATCGGTCGCAGAAATCTTAACGATAAACGCGCCGTCGCCGACGGCGAGATCGTCTTCGAGCTGGATGCGGCAGTTGGTCTGCTTCTCCAGGCCCTGCACCACCATGCCCGCCGTGCCGATTATCCGCGACCGCATGCGCCGGTCCGCCACCCCGATGCTGATTGCGAACGGGTGCGCCGCGGACGGCGCATGGCGCTTTCCGCCGCCCCCCCGCCCGCCCCCCTCCCCGCCAAACCCTCCACCTCCGCCCCCGCCGAGGGTGGTGGGGCAACCCTGAAGGAGGAGTCGGGGAAAGGATCCGATGGGAGTAAATCAGAAAGTTGCGGTGAACGGAGGGAAAGTTAGGGTTTTGAACGAGGCGCGGATGCTATCAGTGCGCTACGCCTCAGTCTAATCGGCACGACGACTCGCCAGGGCCTGCGGCGGTAGCGATAATAGCGATGTATGACGACGTTTAACGACGCTTCCGACAGCCTTGGTCAGTGAATACCCTTCTTCTTATTTAACCTAGCGTTTAAGACGCCGAGATCCCTATCAATGTCGGCCCGCGCCGCTTCGACCTTCCGCAAACTCCCCCCTCCACTCTATCCCCCTAATTCCCTGCGCAGCTCCGCCTCCGCGCACCTGAGTGGGGTGCCCCGCCTCTCCGCAGATCTTGCACGTGAGGTCGTCTTCGCGCCGCTTCTTCCAGTTGCGCTCCGCCGCCTTCGCCTTCGCCTCCCACGCCTTGCTGTACTTCCCGCCGAAATCTGTCGGTACGTCCGTCCCCGCATCCTCGCGCTGCCTGCCGACCTCCGCATCGTCCCCGCCCTTCCGCTTCTCCGCCTTGACCGCCGCGTGCGCCTGCGCGGGCGCTGTGTAGCCCTTGGCGTAGACGCTCTTGAAAAACTCGTCGTCGTCGCCCTCGCCACCCTGCACACCGGCCATCGCGCCGGTTTAGCTGGCCTAGCGGGTGCCGAGTAGCAACGGTGGCGGAAACAGGAAACTTTGAAACGGGAAAGTGATTGAACCCGCTTTTTGGACGCGTGATGTATTGTTATGTTTTACAGTAAAAACTGTTAGTTGTGCGGTTCAAAGTGGTTGCGAGAGAAAGACTCCAATTGCAGAGGATCCTGCTCAACCAATGACGTGTACCTGCGAAAATGAACCGTCAATTCAGACGATATTCGATATACAATTGCCTCGATATGCATACGAACCCTGAAATTCCAAAAGCCAATCATGCATTTCACAGTTCCTTTTCGATCACACCCATTCTCCAATCTTTCTGCCATTAGCAATTCACTGCTGGATTTGCTGCCGAGTTTAGTTTTGCGACACCTTCGTGAGCCTTCCCAGGACTCACCTGAGAGATATCCCGACAGATTCCGTTTCCGCAATCCACTTCGCCGTCTGATTCGTGTGCTCTCCCGTCAAGAAGGGAGGCTCCTCGTGAGCGATCCCGATGGGGCGGCAGAAGGGCGGCGATGCGGCGCGATCCAAGAATCGACCAGCCAGCAGCAGGTGCGCCGCAACCTCAGCTAATGCGAGTGCGTGTGTCACGAGCACACCGTTGGGTGCCGGTTGCGCTAGAAACCAAGGAGGCTGTGTGCGCGTGCTTTCACTTCAGTAAGGGCCACGGACGATGGCCCGAAACACGCGTAGTGAATCGAGATGGTTGCCACGTGTTCCGATGTCTCTGCGGCTTGTCAGGCCCCAGTGTGGGCGTTTGAAATCAGGAAGTTTCGGCCGGCGTGGTTGCGTGTTTGCTAGGTGTAATTCCGTGCAGCTTGGATCCGCATGGTGATCGTCGTATTTCATACCGCGTCGCGGATCGCCGATTCACATTCCGGGGCAAGCAGAACGGAACGCCTGAAACGACGACGCCATCCGCCCTTCTCCCCCCTCCCTGTCTCCTCCCCCCTCCTGCCCCCTTTTTCACACACTTCTCTCCCCGCTGCCCTTCCACCCCACCGTCCCGTCCGCTGCCCATTCACACGCCGGCGGCGACCCTCCCAGCGCCCTCCTCATGCCATCCTTGGCGCCGCTTCTGCTTCCGCAATTTCCTCATATCCCCTCCCCCTCCTCATTCACCATCCCCTCTCCCCCAACCCCCGTCCCCCCTCTTCCCCCATATCTTCCGCAGCCTGGCCGCCTCGCTGCTGGCAGCGGGCGCAGGCAGCGCGGCAGGCGGAGCTGGAAGCGCCCCCCGCCCAGTGGGGTTCGGGGGATACGTGGGCAGTGCGCGGGTGCAGACAGCAGCCGCGGGGGCGGCTGGAGGGGGAAGGGAGAGCGCGGAGGGCGGGGCAGACGGAGGGCGGGAGGGGCAAGGGGGGGCAGCGGAGGCTTCTGCAGGCAGCGGGCCTAAGGAGCTGGTCATTGGGGCGGTGAGCGCTGGAAGGGGGAGGGGGGAAACAGGGAGAAGAGGGGTTGTGCAGTGTTGCATGCACAGCTTTCATGCGCCGCAAGCCTGTAAACCTCTTTGCCGTTTCCCGTTCACCACTCCCCCCCACCAATCAGTACCCCTCGCCACCCTGCCCCTCTACTGTGCGGTGATGAGCAGGACGTGGGCGGCGAGGCAGCGGCGCATCTGAGGCGGCTGGCGAAGAAAGACGCCACCACCAAGGTGAGTGGCGAAGAAAGACGCCACCACCAAGGTGAGTGGCGAAGAAAGACGCCACCACCAAGGTGAGTGGGTGCAGCATGGGGAGTGGCAGGCACAACGGGAGCAGCAGGAGCAAGGCGAGCGTTGCAGACAGACAACAGGCGCTTGGGGTGGGAGCAGGCGGGTGGGCTGTGATAGTGCTCAGTTGGATTTGCGAGTGCAAGCAGTGGTGCCATTATGAATGGACATGCAGAGAAGAGTGGCTCTTCACACGCACTTTCATGTGCACTCCTGATGTGCCTTCCCTTTGCTGATCTTCCCCCAATCCTGCCGCCTCTGCTCTTCTCCATCCCACCAACACCACTCCCCTTTCTCACACCTCTCCTCCCACTCCCTCCACTCTGTACCACGTCCCTCCACGTCCCTCGGTGACCCCTCCCCCCAGCTGAAGGCGCTGGAAGCGCTTCAGGGGGTGCTGGGCGGCAGCACAGCCGCCCAGATGCAAGCCATGCTGCCTGCTTGGGTGAGAAATGATACAGCGCCATGCCATGCTGTCGTATGCCATTCGATGCCATGTGGTGTGGTGTTGTGCCACGCCATGCCATGCCATGTGCCGGCACTGGTGAAATGCGATTCAGCTTGCCACTCAGCATGCATCCTGCTCTTCCCTCACTGCTACTGCCTTCCTCCTCCTTCACCTTTCCCTCTTCTCTTCCCATCTCTTTGTTTCTCTTCCCGCGCCGTCATCTCCACATGGCGTGCACTGACAGGCGTTTGAGTACCGGCGGCTGGTGGTGGACGGCAGCAGGGCTGTGCGCCTCGCCACACACGCCACCATGACCCTGCTCGTCAAGGCCGTGGGGTGAGTCCATGCTCGTCAAGGCCGTGGGGTGAGTCCATGCTCGTCAAGGCCGTGGGGTGAGTGGGTCAACTCGAGTCAAGGGCGTGGGGTGAGTGGGTCAACTCGAGTCAAGGGTGTAGGGTGAGTTGGTGTGGCAGATAGTAGTTTCGAATGTCAACATAATTCAGTGTGATGCGTCACATGCACCATGTCTCACTCCCTCATGATGTCACTGCTGCCTCTTCTCTCTCCTTCCAGATTAATGTTCATTCGCTCAAGCATCATCCTTGCCTTTTCCTCTCTCGTTCCCATGGCAGCAAGGGCCTGGCGCCACACCTGAAGCAGGTGATGGGGCCGTGGTGGGTGGCGCAGTTTGACTCCTCCCGTGATGTCGCTGCTGCCGCCTCCCTCTCCTTCCAGGTGCGTCACAGGCTTACCAGCTTTCGTCTCCTCCTGCTGCCCACCCTGCTGCCCACCCTGCTGCCCACCCTGCTGCCCATCCTGCTGCCCATCCTGCTGCCCATCCTGCTGCCCATCCTGCTGCCCATCCTGCTGCCCATCCTGCTGCCCATTCTGGTGCAGCCGCTGTGCACTCCTCATCCATACCACACTTGTCACCTCCTTCTTCTCCCCCCCTCCCTCCTCCAGACAGCCTTCCCCACGCCCACACGGCGAGTGGAGGCGCTGGCATTCGCGGGGGAGGCGGTGGTGGGCGCACTGGCGGAGCTGCTGGCCGCCACCCCGCAGTCGCTGGCTGCTGCCGACCGCTCGCTCAGCGTGGAGGAGGCCAAGCACCGCCTGGACGAGGTGCGATGCGGTTGGAGGAGGTGGGATGCGATAGCCATTGCAGAAGTGTTCCGTTCATTTATCTTACCCATTATTGTTCCAACCATCCGCTTATCAATATACCCCCTCCTCCCCCCGCCCCCGCCCTTCCTCCACCTGCTCCCATCCGCGCCTGCCCCCATCCTCTGCCCGCCCACCCCCCCTGCGTGCAGCTGCTGTGCGCAGCTCTGCTGGCGCTGAGGGCGCTCCTGCAAACCCTGCTGCCGCCACGGCCACTCAGAGGGGCTGCTGCTGGCGCTGCGACCGCAGGTGGGGAGACAGCAGCAACAGCAGGAGCAGGTACAGCAGCAGCAGGGGCAGCAGGAGAACCATCAGCAGTAGAATCAACGGCAGCGGCAGCGGCAGCTGCGCCAGCAGCCCTGCCCCCGTCTGTGGTGGCAGCCCAGCCGCGCATGGCAGCGTCGCTGCTCTCCTCCCTGCGCGCCCTCTCCTTCCTCCGCGCCCTCGCCAAACACCCCTCCCCCCGCGTGCGCTCCGCAGCCTACCACACGTTGCCAGCTGTCCTGCTCTCATTGGGCCCGCAGGGGCAGGAGCAGGAGGGAGTGGTGACGAGTAGCGGGAGGGGGGGCAACCAGGAGGGAGGGGGGGGCGGAGAGAGGTGGGAAGGTGAAGTGGAGGTGATGGGGGAAGCGGAGGTGGTGGAGAAGGTGGGGCCAGTGGTGGCAGCAGCCATGGGGGAGAAGGTATCCGCATGCCATGGCGCCATGTGGGAGCTGGTTCTGGTGGCATCACGCACCTGCCCCTCCCTCTGGGCCAACCCTTCCTTTCTTAAATCCGCTCTGCCGAAGCTCTGGGGTTTTCTCCGAGCCGGGTGTTTAGGCTCGGCAGCGCAGTCGTACCCGTGCCTGCTGCCGCTGCTTTCGGTGTTCTTCCGAGCCAGGCTGCACCAATCACAGGGCGTGTTGGTGCCTTTTTTTACGAGCCTTTGGCAGGGACGGCTTGTCCACATGGCGCGGCCTGATTGGCTGGCGCTGCTGACGTGTGTGAGGGAGTGCTTGGTGCTGAGTGTGGTGCAGCTGAGGCGAGAGGAGGGGAGGGCAGTGGGGGAGGAGGAGGTTGGGGGAGGGGAGCAGAAGGAGGGTGGGAGAGAAGGACAGGTAATCTACGCTGGAGAACTAGTGAAAGTGGTGTTGTGGGATTTATGCTTCCTAGACCTCCTTCCCGAGCCCAGGAACACTGGTTCGGACCTAGGCTCGGATTCTCATGGTCCAGAGAAGACAGAGGGCACTGGTGGAAAGGCCGAAGGGGGGAGGGGCGGGGTGGCAGCGGGTGAGAGGAAGGGCGGGAGTGCATGGCTGGGAGCGGTGGTGGCGTGTGTGGGAGAGACAGTGAGGCAGATAGTGCAGGTGGAGAGGGGAAAGGGGTGGACGGGGGGCGGAGGAGAGGAGGCGCAAGAGCTGGGGAGGGGTGAGGCGCCAAGAGGGTCTGTTATGGACGGCTTCTGGTCGTGCGTGGTGGATGCCGTGCTGTCTGCTGTTGATGGCCCCACTGCTACTGGTGTGCCTCCTCCTGTTGATGCTGCCAAGAAGGAGAACACAGGGGAGTGTGAAGTGGCGCTGCTGAGGCGAGCACTGGCAGGGAGCGCTGCTGCTGATGGTGGTCATAACACAAGCAAGCGCACTAGCGACGGCAGCACAGTGCAAGCAGTTCTGTCACTGCTGAAGCAGCTCAAGCCGACAGCAGCAGCTGCAGCAGGGCCTGCAGGAGTGGCATCAGCAGCAGCAGGCGGTGTGAAGGGCAGTGGCGAGCGTATGGAGTGGGTGGTGCCTGCAGTGGTGTCTCCTCTCATGCACCGACTGCTGCCCCTCGCGCTGCCCCTCCCCCTCCCGTCCTCTCCCCTCCCCTCTTCATCCTCCCCCGCTCGCATGGAAGCGGCAGCAGCCATGGCGGCGGCACTTGTCGACATGTTTGGAGCACCAGCCATCCCGTGCCAGCTGGCGGCGCATGATTCGACGGACAGTGCAGCTACCGTGGCTCGCAGTGGCACGACTCCCCTGCAGCTGCTGGACTTGCTGCTGGCAGACACGGAGGTTGGGGCAGGAGAGGGAGCGAGTGGCAGGGCGGATGGCAGGGCTGTGTTTGTTCTGCAAGTGAAGCTCCTCTCGCACCTCGCCCTGCTCCCTCCGCCACACAGCACCATCACCACCACCATCACCACTAACAGCAGCAGTGCAAGCAGCATAGGTGGAAGCGAATCAGGGGCAGCAGAAGGCGAGAACTGCCTGTCGCTCATCGTGCAGCGGCTGTGCACTGCTGCACTCCACCCAGCCAAGCAGAGCGAGGCAGAGGCAGGTGGGGGTCATGGTGGAGGCTCCTCCTCCCTCAACATGCCCGCTTGCCTCCTCGCTGCTCTCCTCTCCTCGCTCTCCGCCCCCTCCCCTCCCCTCACCGCCGCGGCCAGCACCGCTCTTGACCGCTTGGCCATGCACGTGGTTGCATCCATGCCGCTGCTGCTCCTCCCCTCCTCCCAATGGCTCCTCCGAACGCTCCTCTCTCCGCCTCCTGCTGCTCCCACGCCCCTCTCTGTCCCCTCCTCGCGTTCCTGGCTGTCGCCCTCCTGCCTTGCCTCGGTCTATGCCTCTCTGCATTCGCACCTGCTTTCTTCCCTCCTCGTGCTCTCCTCCTCTCCGTCCCTCCACACTCTCGGTCTCATGCTACAGCCACTGCTGCTGCTGGTGAGGCGAGAGGGAGGTGTGGGGGGAGAAGGGGTGGAAGTAGGAGCATTGGAAAAGCCAGACTCAGAAGGAGGAGGTGAGGGGGATGCCACATCAGCACAGGCCGAGCTGGCAGCATGCCTGGACGTCCTGGAGCCCCTGTGGCTCGCCTCTCATGTGTCTGCCAGCAGCGCAGGCTCTGCTGCGCTGTCGCGTGGTGATTTGCTGGCGGTGGTTGCTGCTTGCTCGTCTTACCTTGTAAGCTGGTGCCTGGGGGAAGGGGAGGCAGACAAGGGAGAACAGGCAGGGAGTGAGGAGGAGAGTGACGATGAGGAGGAGGAAACGAAGGAGGATGGGGACGAGGAGGGGGAGGGAGAGGAGGGGTTGGAGTTGGAAGAAGAAGAGGAGGGGGGAGGAGGAGGGGCATCAGGGGAAGGGTACATGGAAAAGGTTCTGGGAGGGGGTGGAGCAGCAGTGGCGGTAGGAGCAGCAGGAGCAGCATGGGGTGCAGCAGGGGTTGAAACGGGTGTGGGGGCAGGTGGGACAGGCGCTGGAGAAGGGAGTGAGACTGCACGGCTCGCATCCGTGGGTGCTCACATGGCAGGGCCTGTGGTGGTAACTGTGTTACCAGCTCTGCTTTCTGCAGCTAACCAATGGGTCTCGCTCCTCTCACACCCTCCATCTACCAGTCACTCCACCACCACTGATTGCACTACCACCACTCACACCACCCATGCGCCATCAGCCACCCTCACTAACCCTATGCCAGTAGCTACCCTCACTGCACGCCTGCTCACTCGCTCTCTTGCCACTGCTGCTGCTTCTCCTCTCTCCCACTGCCGCCCACACCTCTGTGCGCGCTGGGCGGCGGATCTTGTCCGTTTCTTCCAGCTGCAAGGCGGGAAGGAGGCGGCGGAGAGGCGTGTGATTGGGTGGATTCTGGCCGATCTCGAGTTGATGGGTGGAGGGGAGCAAAAATGGCCTCGATTTGTGGGTCACTTTCCTGACTCTTCTGTCACGGCTGGTTCTCGTGACAGTGGTACGACAGGGTACAGTCACATTGACAGCATTATCAATGCACTGCCGCCTCCTCCTCATCTCTCCTCCGCAATTTCGCAACCCCCCTCACACCTCCTCTCCTCCCGCCTCCTCCACTTCCTCTCTCACCTCACTCACCTCCTTGGCCCATCTGCCGTTTTCTTCTGCCCAGCGGGCGGCGGGCGGGCGGCACTGGCGGTTGAACTGATGTGCGCCTGGCAAGAGGAACACTCTCTGCGCCACCACCATCACTCCACCGTCACGCCACATGGCGGCCTCTCATTGGGCGGGCTTGACGGCGATGGCCTTGGGATTGGGCCAGCAGTGGTGGCGGAGCTGATGGTGGGGGCAGCACGGCAGGTGGGGGAGAAGGAGGCGGAGGTACAACAAAGTGTGGAGGGAGGGGCAGAGGCGGGAGCAGGAGTGGGAGGAGCAGTAGAGGGCAGAGCGGAGGGAAGGCTTGTGAGCGAGGTGGTGAGTGTGTTGGTGCAACTGGCGTCCCAGGAAATCGACCCTGCTCGTGCCAGTGCTGCCACCGCCACTGCCACACATGCATCATTGGCTCTCAAGGCACTCTGCGGGCTTCTCAGAAGGTTCCTTGCAGCAGGGGCGTGGGGCCCACGGCAGGCATGGCAGGTGGTGCAGCAGCAGGTGGCAGCACTGAAGGATGAGAGAGAGGGCCGTGGCAACTCTTCCCATGGAAATGCCGGGAGTGGGGGAGGGCGTGGGAGAGTGCGAGTGGTGGCAGAGGTGGTGGGGATACTGATGCCTGTGGTGCGGTGGGGCGGGCAGGCAGGGGGGCGAGCCGAGGCAGCAGGGGGAGGTGCAGCAGCGGGTGGGGAAGGAGGATGGAGAGGGGCGTTGGAGCAGCAGGTGGATGAGGAGGTGGTGTGGTGGGTGCAGCGAGCCAATGAGGCGATGCCACTTGTCGCATGTGTGGAGCAGCAGAGTGCAGAGGCAAGAGGTGAGTGGTGGCCTGACTGTTAGTGCATCTCATGGTGCCTCACAACTGCCTCGCTATTGCCACATTGCCATGCACCACACCACACTGTGCCACATTGCCATGCACCACACCACACTGTGCCACATGCGCGCGTCCCTGACCACATGGGCATCAGCATTCACAATCCGTTCTGCTCCTCCCCTACTGCTATCCAAAGTCCAGCTATCTCCTTCTCCTTTTCCACCCCCTGCCCCTATCCATCCCCCTTCCCCCCAATCTGTGCAGACTCGCTCGCTCTCCACGCCCTCGCCTTGGCGCTCTTCCCCATGCCACCATCATCTGGTCCCTCTTCCACCCCTCTCCAAGCCCACTCCTCCGCCACCACCAGCAGCCCCTCCCAGCGCGCCGCCCTGCTCGCCCTGCTGCGCCTGCAGACCTCCCGCCACGCCACTGCTGCCGTCGCTGCCGCTGCCGCCGCCTCCCGCCTCGCCGCTGCCGCGTCTGCTGGGGATGCAGGCAGCGTGGGGCCCGGGGAGACGAGCAGTGCTCTGAGCAGTGGTAAGATGAGGCATGCTGGGGGTGTGAGTGCGGACGTGGGAGGGGGGGACGAGTTGGATGATCTAGACGAGCTTGATGAATTGGATGAGCTGGATGAGGATGGCGGCGGTGATGCAGGTGGCAGTGATGACGTGCCATTTGACGAGCTTGATGAGCTGAACGAGGAGGAGGAGCAGAGCGGTGGGAGGGATGGAAGGCCGGCGCAGGTGCAGAGCAGTGCCAGTGGTGCAACCAGTAACAGGGAGGCATTGCAGCAGCAGCAGGTGGGGGTCGAGGAAGCATGGGAGAGCACACAGGAGAGCAGGGAGGAGTGGGTGGCGCACGTGAATTGCTGCCTCCTCGCCCTCGCCAGCTCAGCAGTGGCGTACAGCTGGCAGGAGATGGCGGAAGCTGACGTGGCGTTTGTGGGCGGCAGGCTGCGGCGGGCGCTGGCAGCAGCAGCCATGGCGTTTGAGGAGCTGGTGGAGGGCATGGGGGAGGGGGTGGGGGAGGAAGAGGATGGGAATAGGAGAAAATCAGGAAAGAGGCAAGCAGGGGAGGGGCAGGCAGGGGATGAGCAGGGGAGGGTGAGTGGCATGGCACGGCGGCTGGAGGCCATGCCGTTGGACGTGGCAGGTGCTGCCCTCTCACTGCTCTCCATGCTGCTCGCCCTCCACTCCCACGCCTCTGCTGCCTCCGCTGCCACCAGCAGCATCTTCTCACTCTGGTCGTCAGCCGCTGCATCGGCGTCCCCCTCCTCGCTCTGGTCATCAGAGGCATGTGCAGCGGTGGTACGGCAGGGGTCAGAGCACGCCTTGCGCATCTTCATTGCTACAGGCCTAGCAGACGCGGCTGTCCCTCACAGCACCGTCGCCAGCAGTGCAGCCAGCAGCGTTCAGAGCAGCCAGCCCATGACAGCCTGGCGCCTGCAGCATCCACTCTTCTTCCGCCAGCTGTCGCACGCAGTGCTTGCCGCTCCCCCTCGGGCGGTGGAAGCAGCGGTGCGGGCAGCGGAGATCTGGGGGGCGGGGCGAGGGCCAATTGCAGGGCTGTATGCGCTCATGTGCGGCCCGTCGCCAGGTGGCAGCGTGCGATTGGCTGCATTCTGGTGTCTTTCTAGGGAGCAGGTATTGCCTGCTGCTGTGGGGGCAGCGGTGGTGAGGGGCGGAGGAGACGGGGAGACACATGGAGAGCCAGTTGGTGATGGCGTCAGACCTGAGCTGGCTCACATTCTGCAGCCAGCCAATCGGAAGGAGTTGCTGACGTCAGCTCTGACGTCATCGCAGCGGGTGCGGTACTACCTGGCAGCTTGTCTTGTGCTGCACCGCATCCAATCCCTCCCCACCTCACCCCCATCCCCACCTCCCTCCACCGCAACCGCCTCTGCCGCATCGCCATCCTCCCCTCGTGACCGCCTCATCTCTTTCATCCTAGCCACTCCCACTCTCACTCTCCTCCTCGACCTCGTCTCTCAAAACCTCCTCCTCGCCCCCTCTCCCTCACACTCCTCCGCCTCTGCACGTCGCCTCATCCATCTCAACCCCTCAGGACCCCTCCCCCCTGCGGTAGCCCAAGCTGGGGACTTTGCCACACGTGCAGTTGCCCAGGCCTCGCCTCTGGACGTCGCACTGGAAGTTTTAACCCTGTCCGGGGCAGGCAAATTATCGGTGCCACGCATGCGCAGCCTGGCAGCAGCGGTGTTTGGGGCAGCGCTGCGAGTGGTGCCAGGGGGGGTGAGGCGGTGGTATGCGGATGTGAGGGAGAAGGGAGTGCGGCGGGGCATGGACATCTTCACTGCCCGATACTGCAGCGCTCACATGATCTCCCTCGAACTCGCCCAGGTATGCATTCTCTCCCTCTCTCTCACCTCTCCTCTCTCATCTTCTCAAACCATGTTCGTGAAATACCACGCTCCCAGCGACACTCCTTCCTTCGTACCTCTCCTGAATCTTCCCAGCCACGTCCCATTCTGCTGCCGCTTCCCTTCCTCCGTCAAACCCCCCCCCCTCCCCAACCAGGCGCAGAAGGCGGGCGGCAGCAAGGAGGACCTGACGGTGCGCACACGGCGGTCAGCACGCGAGGTGTGGGCGGCGTACTGCAAGGACGAGGCCAAGCTGGAGCTTGTCATCAAGCTGCCCGAAAGCTACCCGCTGCGAGGGGCAGCTGTCGAAAGTTCCAAAGGGGCAGGCGTGAAAGAGGCCGAGATGCGCAAGTGGCTGTTGGCTGCTAACTCGTTCCTGCTGCTGGGAGGGGGGTCGGTGGCAGATGCGGTGGTGCAGTGGTGCGAGTGTGCAGAGAAGAAGTTTGAAGGGGTTGAGGATTGCCCCATCTGCTACAGTGTCATCCACTCGTCCAATGGCAGCCTGCCACGTCTGCAGTGCCGCACGTGCAAGCACAAGTTCCACCCCGAGTGTCTGTACCAGTGGTTCCAAACCTCCCACAAGTCCACCTGCCCGCTCTGCCAGACATCCTTCTAGCTTCAGCTGCTCGCCTGGCGTCATTGTGTTTGAGATTTCGGCCGGGAGTCAGCAGCAGGGGTCAGCTCAGCAGCTTTGGGATGAGCCTTGCCTGCTTTTCTTTCTGGCTTCTTAGCCTCTAGACGCATACCCAGTCTCCCATCGAGCTTCTTGGTTAGATGGAGGTTCTCTTAAAATAAAAACGCTGTGCCGTGTTATATAGGCAAGAGGAGGTACTGCAACGAAGGCAGCAGGCAATGCTACATATTTACAGACACTTCCAGCATAGGCATGAGAATTGCCCCACTGGGCTCAGTGATGACAGCGTAACACAACTTCGGACTACAAAACCCTCATCAGGTGGCCAGCTCGCTTCAAGAAGGCGAGAAGAGAATCTGGAATTGCTTCACCTTCTGAACGTAGTTGACCATCGCGACCTCGATGCTAAGGCCTGCAGGGGGGCGAACGAAATAGTCAGGACTGACTGGCATGGATGGAATGGCACATTCATGGACGTCAATCCATGCATGAATCCACTGAAGTTTCGCTCTTCAGGGGTCATGGACTCGATGCAATGCAATGCAAGCTGACCTGCGAAGTCGCGCCAAGCCTGAAGTTTCTCGCGGTCGTCAGTGTCCACGTCCTCTTCTGAACCTGCACAGCATTCCGTGTTAACGTCAGCTCTGTTTCTAACAGCACGATATCTGAATAGAAGACGACGGAATGAGCAGACAAAACTTCAAGTTGTGACTATTGTGAGTAAACACTGCCTACGAAGTTTAGAGACGTCTAAGCGACTGACAACCTAGAAGCGAGACCTTGGTCGCAAAATGCAAAAACGAACGAAAGCCGTACACGAAGTGATGCTTCCTGCAGTCGCCTGCTTGTACAGCCCATAGAGAACCAGCTGGTACGACGGTGCTAGTGCTGGACTCAGCTGCTTCGCCGCCTCAACAGACGCAAGGAAATCGGCCTGAATGGACGAACACACGTCAGTGAGAAGCCGCGTCACGCAGCAGGGACAAAAGGAGAACGAACGGAATCACGCTGCGATACATCATACGCTACCATGCGCTTTATGTACCTCAAGGCTCAGGTCGCATGCTGCCTCCGTGAATGGCTCGGCCCGACAGGCCAACGCATGCGGAACGGCAGGCGACTCCCACCGTTCGCGGACATATGCTGCCATAAGCCCAACCTAGATAACGATACTCCACAGCGTAGCCCTCAATCCTTACAGCATGAGTGAAATCGGCTGTCAAAACTCGCAAGCATTCCTGGAAACAACGTAACTAAAACGGACATGCTAGAAGCAACGCATGCAATTTTGGCTGAAAGATAATGGTGCTGTTCGCCAGGAAATCGTAATTTGAAATGAAAAATATGGCATCGGCATCGCGACCGCATCTGGAAACGGAGGCGGAACCCACCTCCGAGGTTTGGACGTGATGCCATTCAAGAAACTTCTGCGCCTGAGGTTGCGAAATTTCGAAACCGCGTCGGGAACCTCCGTCCTCACCTTCCCCCCAATCCCCTTTGAACGGCAATGCGACGGCTGTGCCATCGCTGTGCTTCGAAAAACGCAGCATGGCGATGGCATGGCTTGGGGATGGAACTTTGCCTGGGGACGAAGTTGCGTCCCCGCTTCCATATGCCGTCGAGCAGTTCGTTTTGGTTGACAAATGGGGGCGTTCGCCAGACACCCACTTTGATTGTTGGTTTGGACGGTTGGGGAGGCTCGGCACCTTTTTACGGGCTGACCAGGCTGACGGAGGTAAACGAACCCTAACTGACGGGATCAGGAAGGCGAGACCCACCTTCCTGTCCCGTCGTTATCCCATGGTTTTTTGCTTCATTGGTGCTGGCGAACAGCCCCAATTTTTGGGTGAGCTGGGCTTGCATGCGCGAAAACCTGTGTCGAATGGCGCGAAACCTCCTCTTGTCAGGCTGGCTCACCTCGAAAGTGACGGAATGATGGCACAATCCTGAAACTTCTGCAGTGTACTTCGCTCGTGCTATTTGGCAAAAAAATCAATAAATGCAACTAGCAAATAGTAAACTTTTGTGCTATGTTCACATGCTGCTTGGATAATCCATACCCTGACATCCAGGGTTACTGTTCCTGAACGCCCAGCCTTTCCTGTAACCTAGTGTCCTTCTCCCTGATCTGATGCTGGGATAGACCTCCCAGTGCTCCCAGCTCACCCAGCTTTACAGAACGGAACTGAAACGTGCAATTCAGATGTGCAAATCTTGCACAGACCCTTAGAATGCATCACATAACTGCTCGAACATGGGATACCAGCGCTGTGTCCCTTTCCCCTAGCTTCCATACTCAGAAAGAGGAAACTCTCTTAGGCCCACTTCTCGAGGGAGACCACAGGGGCCTCACACATACGAGCACAGATATGCGCCAGCATATATGCGGCATTATTCAATGAGTGAGAACTTCACACGCCTCCCTGACATCCTCGGGTCTTGCAGCAATCCAGGAAACATGGGTGGTTTCGCACCATAGTCCAAAACAGAAGAGTAACTCACAACGCTACCAAGACTGCTGCTGCTGCTGCTGCTGCTGCTGTAAGCAGCTGTACTGGTACTGCGAGGGCTTCTAGATGGGGCGGAAGGAGCACTAGTTTGGGGAGGAGCCACTGCCGCGCTGGAGCTCTCAAGTACCCACATTTGGCCCACACGCTCTTTCGGCGAGGTGACTTTCTTTGGAGACGATGGGCCATATTCACCTACGCTCGCAGAGTGCGGAAGCCCAGTCGGTGCGTGCTCCTGCGCCTTGGAACCACATGCACTGAGGTCGCTCTCTGACCGACAGGAGGGAATCCTGCGTGAAGCAGATGCGCTGACCTTGATGTTGCCGCTGCTCCTTCTCCCCCCCTGCTTGCTTGGCTCCTGGTCCGTTGCTTCCTCGTTGTTGGACCTCGTCTCGGCGCTGCTTCCTGTGCTGTTGAGGCAGTTGCACGTGCTGCTCATGCTCACGCTCCTTGAAAGCACACCGTCGGGGGTCACATCGTGCTGGTGCTGCCGCACGCCCATCATCCATGCTTGATGCTGCACCTTCATCCTCTCGCTCTGCACCTCTTGTGCCGCCTGCTTCGCCGCGTCCTTGACGATCCTCTCCTTATCTTTCTGCAGCGCTTCCCTCTCCCGCTTCAACTCCTCTCGCTCCTTCCTCACCTCCTCCCTCTCCTTCCCCACAGCCTCCCTTTCCTGTGCCAACACTGCTCGCGACCACTCCAGCGACACTCGGGTCCTTTGCGCTGACGCACGTTCCTCCTTTTGCTTTGCCGCTGCCACGTCATCAGCCTGGGACCACGCTTTCAGCACCGCTTCCAGCTCCTTCGCCAAGTCGTCTCGTTCCGACGCCAACACGCGGGTGGCTGCTGTGGCTTCATTCGCTGTGCGCTCCGCTGAGCGCAAAGATTCTGCACAGAGAAAAGAAAAACAGAAACGACACGAGTAACGAAGAGTAAGAAACCACCCAAAGAGGATTGCACAACAATCGACTTTACTAATTCTAGACGCTGAGATTGAGTCGTCCAAAGCGCGTGTCGAGCCCCGTCATGATGTTCCGGACTCACCAGAGAGCAACTTGTTGATTCGCACGCATCGTTCCAGCTGCGTCCTCAGATCGTCAATCTCGCGACGCAGCCGTCTCATCGACACCGACCCGGCGTCCGAATCCTCCTCGCCATCCGTCGCTTCGTTTCGGGCCGTTGTCGCCGTGTCCTCGTCCTTCAAACGGGTTTTGCGGGAGAGGGTGCGCTCCGACGGATCCGACGCCGCGACGCGCGACAGGGATCGGCCTCGGGACGATGCGTTCCCCTGGATCGCTTTAGGAGAGGAAGCAGAGGAAGCAGAGGAAGCGGAGGAAGCGGAGGAAGCGGAGGACGTAGAGGAAGCGGGAGAGGTTGGGACTGTCGCGTTCGTACTTGCCGAGTCGCGTGCCACACGATCGCTAATGCTGCGGATCATCGCCTTTGCGCCACCCTCCTTACGGCTCTGCGCTCCCTCGCGACCCGCATCTGCCGCTTTAAGAGGGAACTCCCTCGACCAGTTATCACGGCTCTTGGATTCACGGTTGTGTATGTCGCTCTTTGCGCCGTGCGTTCCGCTGGTTCCTTGAGACGCACCCTTTTCCGGCGCCTCGCGAGGCGCCGAGGGAGGTCGCGAGGCGACGCGGATCCGTTACTTGAAGCAGCGTCGCACGGAATCATTTCAAGGGAACGGCGACTGGATTTCATGGCTGAAGGAGTGCTTGCGGGTGGCGACATGGGGGACAGCGTGCTCCGCGGGGAGTGGAGAGGTGGAACAGAAACGCTGGGGAGGGGTTTGATAAAGCGGGAGAGCGAGTCGGAGAGGAACGAGTCAGTGGACGACGATTTGCGATGGGACCTGATCGGAGACAACCGATCTATGGTGGCCATGTCAGTTACCCCCGTAAGGAAATGTATTTGAATACCACTACACCCAACGGTGGAATGGATGGGATTGATCATCAGGGAAGCGGCCAAAGCAACGAGTAGGCGGAGCAGCACAACGAGGTGGAAGAGGATGAGACGAATGGGCGCTGTAGAATGCTGAGTTCAAATCTCAAAACCTTGTCCAAATGGGCACCCTTGACGTGGCTCGGTGGTTCGCTCAACAAGGAGTGAGTAGTGGGATGGGGAGGGATGGGAGAGGGTTGCATAACATCACATAGGTATGAAGAATGTAAGAAGAATGCAGCTGCGACAAGAAGATTGCAATGCAAGCAACTGCCACTGCGAATCTGCGATGCTTGCCATCCCTGATGGCGGCTCGCAAGTCGCGCCTCCATCGCACTGCTTCCAAGTTCCGCTTCGTCGCTGCGCTTCGATCACTTGCGCTTCCCTGGGCTTTCCGCCTTCCTTCTCCCTCTCCTCCCCATCGATCCGCCTCCCCCCCCGCTCGCCACCCCAAGATCACCCGTAAGTCAATCTATACGGGCAGTCACAAAAGGTTTGAGATTATCATATTGACTGTTCTATTACTCGGGGTACACAACCCAGTTGTCAGTTGTTACTGCCAGAATTTCTCAAAAGTCCCAAAGTTCTTGTGACTGCCCGTTTGATTGAAATATGAACTGGTCAGGGAGCGCCACCTCGAAAATGACGGAGTGCCGTGAAGCACTGGAAGCTGTACAAGCAAAACTTGGAAGCATACAAATCAAAAGCAACTCGTTATATTCCATCAGTGAAAGATACTAGTAAGTTATTACATTTCTATTTTGTGGTGAAAGATACTAGTACGTTATTACATTTCTATTTTGTCTTCCACTGGAAGAACATTATAGATAAAGAAAACAAGGTGCAGCAAGAGGCACAACAAAATGAAGGGGATCGGCTGGAAATCATTGACTGCAAAGCCCCCACGGAGAGATGCATAACTACATTCCCTCGCGCAGTCTTTTATAACACAAACACGGATTTATCAAGAATGTCTGCCCCAGAGCTTTCACGGACACTTGCATCCCGCTTGAGAAAGCACACAAACGCGGTGAAGAGACACAAAAACACACACGCACACTACACACACACACAACACACACATCTACTCTACTGGACTGGTCATCAGTCAATGACAGAGAACTTCACACGCCTCCCTGATATCCTCGGGTCTTGCAGCAATCCAGGAGACTTGGGTGGTCTAGCGCCGTAGTCCGAAACTGAAGAGTAGCTTCCAACACTACTGATACTGCTGCTACTGTAACCACCAGTGCTGTTACCGCGAGGGCTCCTGGATGGGGGCGAATGAGCGCTGGTTCGGGGACTCACTCCAGCACCAGGGCTCTCGAGTCCCCACGATTGGCCCACGCGTTCTTTTGGCGACACGATGCTCTTCTGCGACAAATTCACGTATTCGCCCACGCTTGCGGAGTGCGGAAGCCCACTCGGAGCGTGCTCTGACTTGGAAGCGGACGCGGCCAGGTTGCTCTCCGATCGCGAGGAGGCCAACCAACGTCCGCCAGACACGCCGCTCTTGGTGCTGCCGCTGCTCCTGCTCCCTCCCTGCTTGCTCGACTGCTGCTTCGTGGCTCCCTCGTTCGACCTGGCCTCGCTGATGCATCGGGTGCTGCTCAGGCAGCTGCACGTGCTGCACGTGCTACACGTGCTGTTCATGCTCACGCTCCTTAGAAGCACACCATCGGGAGTCACATGGTGCTGGTGCTGCCGCCCGCCCATCATCTCCGCCTGGCGGTGCGCCTTGCTCCACTCCATGTGCACCTCTTGCGCCGCCCGCCCTGCCGCGATCCTCTCCTTATCTTTCTGCAGCGCTTCCCTCGCCCGCTTCAACTCCTCCCGCTCCCTCCTCACCTCCTCTCTCTCCCTCCCCACCGCCTCCCTCTCTTGCGCCAACACCGCGCGCGCCCGCTCCAGTGACGCGCGGCTTCGTTCAACCGACGTGCGCTCCTCCTCCTGCTTCGCCGCCGCCGCGTTATCCGCTTGCGACCACGCGTTCAGCATCTCCTCCAGCTCCTTCGCCACGTGGTCCCGCTCCGCTTCGGCTACCTGCGCGGCTGCCGTGGCTTCCGCCGCGGTGCGCTCCGCGGAACGCAAAGATTCTGCGAAGAAAATAGCGAGAAGAAGAGCAAATGTGGAAAAATAGGGGTAAGGAAAACCATCTCGAGAAATTATGAAACGCGCTAGGTGACAGCACGATCAAAATGGGAAATGCAGCATCACGGTGACTTACCGGTTAGCCACTTATTAATCTTGGAGCATCGCTCGAGCTGCCTCCGCAGCTCATTAATCTCGCGCCCCAGGCGCCGCATCGACACCGACGCGTCCGACGAATCCTCCTCCTCCACCTCCGTCGCTTCGTCGCGGCCCGTCGCCGCCGACCCAGCGTCAGTGTCGTCGTCGCCGTTCAAGCGGCTTTTGCGGGGGAGGGTGCGTTCCAACGGCTCCGACGCCCCGACGCGCGACAGGTAGCGGCGAGACGACGCGGTCCGGTGGTTCCCATTGGGAGAGGACGCGGAGGGTGTGAGGCAAGAGGGGGAGGACGGGGTTGTCTCATCTGAACCCACGTGCTCGCTAATGCTGCGGAACATTGCCCTGGAGCCGCCGTTACGGCCCTGCGGCCCTTCGCGACCCGCTTCAGCCTGAAGGCAGAACTCCCTCGAAAAGTCGCCGTTTATCAAGTCGCGGTTGTATGTGCTTGGGGCATTCACGCTGCACCTTCCACTGCTTCCTCGCGGAACACCCATCTCCGGCGTGCGGACCCTCGTCGTCGCCGCATCCACCGCCCCGCCGCTGTCGCCCACGAGGAGTCGCATCGCGAGGCGCCTCGGGACGTCTCGAGGAGACCCGAATCCGTAACTCGAATCCGCGTCGCTAGGAATTTCAAGGGAACGGCGGCCAACTCTCATGGCGGAAGGAGTGCTAGAGGATGAGGACATGGGGGAGAGGGTGCTCCGCGGGGAATGGCGAGGGGGAAGCGAGGAGAAAGAAGGGTCGTTCTCGGCGAGGGTTTCGACGAAGCGCGAGAGCGAGTCGGCGAGGAATGAATCTGTGGACGGCGACTTCTGATGTGACCGGGACCGTCTTGAGAAAGCGGGACGCCGGTCAGTGGTGGCCATGTTAGTTATCCAGCCGACTACTGCTTCTAAGAAAATGAACTTCAAGTTGCAGGAGAGTGTCTAGTGGATTCAGCACGTGCACGTCTGTGAGCATCAGCAGACCGGTTGCGTTTCTAAGCTCTGTGTAGGGGAACAGCAACGGGGTGACTTGGGAAAAGATGCTGTACGATGCTCAGAGCCGTGTACACATGATGCCCAACCACTGCGCGCGAATTTGCCTTGCCCATTTCAGAAACTCTGCACCCGTGTTTTTTTTCCTAGTCAGTTGCACCCACGGTATAGGCACGCGGATCAACTTGCATTTGGGCGAGAAAACGCCGAAGTATGAATCTCAGGCGCAAAACAAACCATGCTGACCCGGTTTGTTCTTGTTTCCTGGCCAGAAACAGGCATAAACCCTAAACCCTGAACTAACAACAACACAGGCCCACCAGCTCTGTTTTGAAAAAACAAACGAGTTACAACCTGAGTTTTTTAGAAGCACCTCAACACCCTGGCGAAATGAAACGAACTGGGCGAAATGTCTAAAACGTTTATAAGCCCAGAGCACAGCCCAAGTAGGGGGGACTCAAACAGGCATCAGGTGTACATGAGGAGCCTCCCGTCATAATATCCTGGCTGTGTGATTCTGATTCCACCTGAGGGAGCAAAAACAGGGACTGTGGCTCGCTGGTTCATTCGACAGGGCGGTGGGATTTGTGGAAGAGAAGTGCGAAAATCAAAAACCAAATTTCTCATCCCAGCAGCTGTGGCGAGAGCCACAGAAGCATGTGGGCTGCGACCGCGATTCGAGGAGCATCCGAAATGCATGCAGCTGCCTCCTCCAGTTCTGGTGCTTGCCATTCATGCGACGACTCAGGGCGTATCCAGGTTCGGGTCATGAGCACTGTTCCGGGCATGCGCGATTTGCGGATGACCCAAACAACATAGAACGCATGTTTGGGTCATGCGACCCCCATATTGCCGCGAGGGTTTTCGCGCCAAAATCCAGCTCACAACAACAGTCGCATCCAATGGTGGGATGCCCGAACATTTCGAAAGGTCATTAGCGAGACCCACGCAAAACCATGTGACACTCGCTGAGAAATCACAACCCCCAAAATCCCCTGAGCGAATTCCCAAATGTTGGGAGCGCGACGCGAGAAATTTTAGACACACTCGGGGTCAATTTGTCGAGTGGTTGGGTGCAGAGGTGTCAGACGTGGGAAATTGCCCACGTGTGACACTCGACTGCCGATCGACAAAAAGTTGGCAGTAACACCACAATCGTGCAACCAGGTGATTGGCTGTGGGTGGGTCGTGCACGTCAGTCGCACAACACCTACACATTGACCCAAAGCTGGGGCCGCGCGCGGCTCCGCAGCCCACTTCGGGTCATGCGCAAATTCCGCATGACCCAAACAGTAGCCAGAACAGTGCTCATGACCCGAACCTGGATACGCCCTCATTTGCTGTGCAATGTACAGTACACCTGCGCTGCTGCGTTGCTGTTCTGTGCAGGCACGCCAGACCAGACACCTCCGTGACTCGTCGTGCCTTGTCCCTCTGCTTCGCAATGCCCCTGCTCTGATCACTCCGTCCGCCTCCCTCCCCCTTCTTCCCGTGATCGGGGCCCCTTTTCCCAAAATTTCCCTTGCTTTTCTGGCGTGAGTGTTTCGGTATCTTGTGCGCAGGGCATTTTCGGGTTGCCATCAACTTTGCCGGAAGGTACAGAGCTATTTCGATTTGCATCGACAGGCCAGAGCATTTTGGAAAAATTTACACGGGCGCGAAAAATGTTTTTGCGGAAAAAAATGAACATTAAGGGTTCCAACATTCTTCACTCTACTGTACAGCACATTGGTTTTTCCGCCAAACTCGATTGTGTGACATGCAAGCGAATGAAGCAAGAGGTCAGAGCTGAAGTCCAAATTAATCAAAGTTGCTTAGGGGCCTCAAACAAAAGCTGCATTGCCAATTTGGAACAACCAAGGAAGACCACTCTAAAATACGTGCGCGGTGTTATGTAGACTAGAAGTCCGAACCGAAGTTGAAAAAACGAGCGAACGGCATCCATTCCATGAGCGCGCCATGTCAGCACTTCTGTCGTTTTGCGTATTTGACGGTGAACGTATGTTTTTTTAGGCTGCAGTGTACAGCCACTAGACGAAGTACAATGCCGTTTTTGTGGTGTGAATGGAGCCACCATGTAGCTTCTAGATTTTCATCTCCAGCCTGTCGCAGTGACGTGGGATGCAGCCATGGTCTCATGTGGTGTATTTTATCGGGCAGCGTTCAAGGTTTTCCAGCGGGAGAGGTCAGGGCAGACAAGGGAAACTACTTCGGCAATGGAATATCATAGAAAACCACCCCTGTTCCTAAATGTAGCAGGCTTGCCGTCTTCAATGGCTGATTTCGCACATCTCCGGGAACCTTAAGCACATCAACATACTCAAGTAAAGCGCCCTATCTCAAACATATTTTGCTTAGGAAAACCTCGTTGTTGTGCAACACATGTGAATGATTCCAACACCCAGGTCTGACGCAACTGACGCAACTGACGTCATCGAGATGCGCGGGGCACAAAAACAGGTTCAATGCTAGCGGATAGGTTTCGGCTCGAGGCCGCCCAAAGAATCATAATCACGTGTCGAAGTGGTATCTCATTGCCTGAAATTGTCGGTACAAAACATTGCCAGCAAGCATTGGCTGTACATCTCGCTGGCATTTGCTGAAAAACAATTCTGTTCTCATGGATAGCCTATCCGGAAGTTTGATCACGACACATAGAATGTGCGATTCGGATTTTTATCATTGGCCGCGAAAACGTCCTTGTCGCAAAGGTCGGGGGCGATTTCCAGGTTCGGTAAAAAACGTCCAAAACTACTGGACCAGCTGTGATTCCCTTCAATCAACTTCCGTTCGCGTCGGTTCACTTGAACAAGCAGCTGGACAATCTATAATACGTCTATAACATGAAATTCGAAGCACACCACTTCTCAACATTAACTTTTGTTTCATCCAAGTCATTAGACAGGCTGGCATCTCTCAGTCTCTTTTCTTTCAAGCAATCTATCAATCTAAGCTATACCTACGTCCTACCTGTCCGGCTCCTTCCACCAAACCTTCCTAACAAAGCAGGGGAACCTGAAGACCTATCCCTTGGAGCATCGGGCCCCGTGCCACCTCCTTTCTGCTGCCGCCACGGCACTGCACTCCCCCACACGCCTACTGAGCTGCCAGGCACGCTGCTGGCATCAGCAGCATACCTGCTGGAAGCTGGAGGGGGCTGGATTGAAGGGGCTAGCGACGACGGAGGTCCCAAGGAGGAGGGGGATGGGACGAGAGGAGAAGACACCTGGCGTTGCCCAGGATTTTCCTCTGAGTAACCTCTTCCTGATGTAGCTGAGGCAGTATAGGCAGAGTATGGACCAGAGTAGGCAGCAGATACAGACGAAGACGGGGGCAGGGGTGCGCCGCTCGGAGCCGTGACCCTGGTCTTCACAAACAACCGCTTGGTCCACCCCAGCCGCTTCTCCTCCTCCTCCTCCTCGCGCTCCCTCTCACCCACCTCACCGCTCTCAGCATCTGCACTCCCTTCCAGTGACGGCTCCCTGCAGGCAGGCAGCAGGCCCGTGCATGGCGGCATGGGGCAGCACGCCTCCATCTCCCCTCCCCCCTCTGCCCCGTCGCCCTGTTTCTCAGGCCACGGCTGCAGCGGAGAGATGTCAGGCACAGCAGATTCCGAATCCACTGCTGTGAAAAACTTCGCACTCACCACCTCTCTCTGCTCTTCTGCTGCCGCCGCCGCTGCTGCAGACGCTGCCTGGTTCTCAGCAAGGGAGGTTTGGGCTGCCGACCGCGGCACCTGAGGCTTGGTACGGGACGCTTGAGGTTCGGTGTGAGGAATTTGAGGTCCGACACGAGGCTCAGCTGGATCTGAGGCAGCGACGTCAGTTGCAAGCTGCTGCTGTATTTGCTGTAGCTGCTGCTGTTGCTGCTGCTGTAGCTCTAGTTGCTGCTTCTGTGCGGAAGCCACTCGCTCACTCCATGTCAATCCTCCCAGCGATGCGGAAGGAGGTGTGGCTGATGCTCGTACAGACGGCATCGCCATCGCCTCATACAATGCACCCTCGCCACTCCCACCCGCCTCCACACTCACGCCTTCTCTCCTACCGCCCGTGCGCTCTCCCCCAACCCGCACTCCTGCGGCCCCACCAGGCCCCTCCCCCCTGCCCTTTGAATCACTCGCCCTCCCCGCATCCCCCCCTCGCCTCTCAAATACAGCCTCCACCAGTCGCACCCCAAACTGCTCCTCCAGCCTCTCCTGCATGCGAGCCAATACCTCCTCTGGCTCTTCCTCCTCCTCCTCCTCTCCCTCCCCTTCCTCCCACAACCCATCCTCATCATCCCCCTCCCCATCCCTCGCACAAACCTCACTCTCCTCCTCGTCCTCCCCCTCCACTCCCTCCTCCGCACTCCACCTCCTCCCCATTTCCTCGTCCACCCGCCTCTCTGCTCGTGTCTCCCCGCTCCCTCCTCGCTTCTCCACCCCCCCGCCTCTCCCCCCCGCGCCCCACTTAGCAGCAGCCATTGCTGCTGCAGAAATGCCCCTCCCTGTCGCCCCCTCCCTCTCTCCACCACCCCTCTCCCCTCCCCTCTCCACATTCCTCCTCCCACCCTGCCCCTCCTCCTGGTTCGCCCGCTCAAAGAACCGCAGTGCATCCTCGTAATCATCCTCCCCCACCTCCTCCCCTTCATCCCCCAGCAACCCTCTCCCCGGCGACTCCCCTCCTCCCTCCCCTCCTGCCCCCTTATTCCCCTTCACAAACGGCAGCCAGCCCCACTTAGCCCTCAAAGCTCGAATCTCCTCAGCCCTCTCTCGTCTCGCTACCGCCCACTCCTCCATCTTCTCCCTCTCCTGCCACCCACTGCTCGCCTTTTCCCAGTCCCACACATCCTTCCAAACCACCTCCCTCCGGCCCTTCCTCCTCCCGCCCTCCCTGCGCCGCACCTCACTCAACCCCACTTTCTGGGCCCGCCGGCTCCTCTTCTGAAACTCCCTCCCGGCTGCCCGCCCACTGTACCTGTCCCGGGCGGGGTCAAGGATTTTTTTCACGGGCAGCCCTTCATGGGCGAGGGTCATGAAGCGGCTCCAGAGCGGTGCGGCGTGGCTGGAACCGGTGCCGGGGTGCAGCCCTCCCACTGGCAAGTTGTCGTCGTAGCCCAGCCATACCTGGCAGGGAGGAAACGGCGGAAGGGGTGGGGATGGGTGCAGGGTGGTGAGGCAGTGACAGGGAGGTGCAGGGCAGGAGTGAGCGGGAGGTGAGCCGGTGCCTGTTCTGCTTGATGAAGGACCATTGGAGCGAGGTGAGCCCATGCCAGGATAAAGGCCACTCACCGGCCTGTTGTCGTCGTAGCCCAGCCACACCTGGCATGGAGGAGAGGGAAGGAAGCAAAGGTGCAGGGTTGGGGACATAAAACAAGGGGATGAGCGGGTGCCGGGGTGCAGCCCTGCCAGTGGCTCGTTATTGTCGTAGCCCAGCCATACCTGGGGGGGAGGAGAGGGCAGCAGGGGGTTGGGCATGAAGAGCGAGAGAGGTGGGGACAAGGTACGAGAGATTCTCGAGGCACACAAACATGGCAAAAGTGGAGCGAGCAGGTTGGTGTCAGGGTGCAGGCCTCCCACTAACCATGGTTCGACTCGTCGCACCTCAGCCTCTCCTGGCAGGGAGGAGAGGGCAGGTGAGGGGGCATGTGAGAAGGAGATGTGCATCTGCTGGTATCGCCGGGTGCAGGTCACCCATCGGCGCACGCCAGCTGCGGAGTGAACCTAGTGAACCTAGTGAACCAGCAGTCGCGGTGGGCATCAACAGAACTGGAATCCGAGACCACTCTCAGCACTTGGTTGTGCAACGCGAGTCTTTTGCCCCTCTTTGTCGTTTGCTTTCACCTCGGTTTGGCTACTGCTGCTCTTTGACAATCGTGTCTGAAGATCGTACAAGATCCCACCACTCACCACACACGCCAGCTGCGGGGTGAACCCAGCGAACCAGCAGTCGCGGTGGCCATCAGACGTGCCAGTCTTGCCAGCACACGGGCGGTCCATGCGAGCCCCCTTGCCGGTGCCACGCTCCACCACGGCCTGCAGCAGCTTCCTCAACTCACCCACCGCTGCTTCATCCACCACCGGGTCCCTGCGCTCCATGCACACCTGACAGCGACAGGGGGGGGTGGGGGGGATGGAGCAGGAGTGGGGTGCACGCACGAGACACGTTATAGGTGCCTCAACGCAACACGGATTTATTGACTACGGGGTCTCTGCGCTCCACGGTGTTGCAGCTGACTGTGGTGAGCTGCAGGGGCGTCACCTCTTTCATTCCTGCAGACAACCATCGAGGATCCTCTCACCCTCTCCCTCCCCCTCACCTTAGCTTCTTCCAGCACCCTCCCGTTGTACGACTCCACGCGCGTTATCAGGTGCGGGCGGTGGTAGATGCCCCCAGCAGCGATCGTGCAGTAGACGGTGGTGAGCTGCAGCGGCGTCACCTCACAGCCGCCCAGTGAGAGCGCCAGCTCGTGCGGTAGCGGCGTCTTGATGCCCAGTGCGCGCCCCATGTGGCACACCTGAAGGTTGGAGGGGGATGCAGTGCAGAGGGGGAGGCGGAGGGTGAGGGGGCAAGGGGAAAGGCGAAAAGGGAAATTCCCATTCCATCCGCACCTTGTATTCCCCACATTATGCACGCCGGCCATTGAAACGTGGATAATGTCATTGATTGGTGCTCTCCATGCCAGCTTGACAGTTGGGGAGAGCACGTTGAGCGACTGATGGACAGTGCATTCTGTAGCGACTTCATCTCCAGCAATGACTAGCTCTCAACACCAACAGCACCCTCACCTTGTCCACGCCGATCTCAGCACAGAGCTTGACGGTGGGCACGTTGAGCGACTTGAGCAGCGACTCCTCCAGCGTGACGGGCCCGCGGAACTTGCGGTCGTAGTTCTCCGGGGCGAACCCCCCCACCTCGTATGGCTCGTCCACCAACACGTAGTCCTTGGTGCTGGGGGGAGGAGCAGGGAGAGGGGAGGGGAGCTAAGAGAGTGAGAGAATAGGGAGGGTTGGAGGTATTGCAGCATTGGCAGCCAACCCCCCACCTCGTATGGCTCGTCCACCAACACGTAGTCCTTGGTGCTGGGGGTAGCGATTGGGGGAGAGAGGGTAGGAAAGAAAAGGGCGAATGAGGGTATGGAGCTGTGCATGATGAGAGCGGGCTCGGCATTGAAACACACGCGCCCACCCCGTACAGCTCGTCCGTTGTGCTCAGTTCGGCAGAGCAGTGAGGCAGTCGACGAGAGAAGGACCTCGTGGGAGGCCTTCGCTCAACCCCGACACTCCCCAAAAGCCTTAAAACCTGAACCCTGAACCTCTGAAAACCGATTTCTAACCATCACTCACATGCCCTCGGCGAGCGCAGTGAGGTAGACGACGGGCTTGAAGGTGGAGCCGGGGGGGCGCAGCGCCTGGGTGGCGCGGTTGAAGCAGCTCTCGTAGTAGTCCCGGCCCCCCACCAGCACCCTCACCGCACCTGACAGCGGATCCATGGCCACCATCGCTCCTTCTAACCTGCATACCATGGAGGGGTGGAAACCACAGAACAAGGATGAATAAGGCGACCGCACAGCAGCTCTCGTAGTAGTCCCGGCCCCCCACCAGCACCCTCACCGCGCCTGAGAGCGGATCCATGGCCACCATGGCCCCTTCTAACCTGCACAGGGCGGGGGGCGGGACACAATGGGATGGACAGAGAGGCCTCACAAATGAAGCAGCTCTATTAGTAGTGGCGCCCGCCCACTGACAGAGGATCCATGGCTAGCCACCACGGCCTCTCCTAACCTGCAGACCATGCAGAGATGCAGTGACGGGATCACAGAAAAAGGGTGACACAGGCGAACGGACGCATGTGGGCTTGGTGTAAAACCGGGACAGGACAAAACAAACATGGATGGGAATGAGTTTGCCTGACTCGAACATCTGTGCACACATGGGAGGCATTTCCCGCATCATCTGAATCACAACATACGATGGAGCGACCCCATACTCCCACCACCCCTTCCCCTCCCTTGCTCCCCATAATCAGCGCCCTTCCTTGAATCTCCCCTTCCCACACCCCACCCACACACACACTGTACCCATCCGTCCTCTCATTTCTTCCACCCGCGTCTCCTCCTCACATTCCTTCGTCTCCCTGCACCGCCCCCAATCCCCCCCTCGTCCCCCCCCCTCGTCCCACCTGGCGGCCTGCGCGCTCCTGAGCTCGTTCTCGTAGCGCTGCATGGCGGTCGTCAGCGTGCGCTCCCTGCACAGTGGGAGGGGGCGGAGTGAAAGAGGATATGGCTCCAATACGCCTCGTTCTCCTAGTGAAAGGGAGAGTGAAAGAGCGAAAGCAACTAGACAAGAGGGTGGACTGGACGTGCGAACAGGTGAAACCCCTAGGGGTGTCCTGGGGGTCGGGAGGCGAGTGCTGCACATCACATCACAGCACAGCACGAACGGATAACCATCCCTTTCCACATCCGCCCTTCCCTGTGCTGTCCCAGACCCTCCATCCATCCCCACTCACATGGCTGCAAATCGCTCGAGGGTGCGCGCCACTGCTGCCGTCTCGTCTGCCATCATCTCAGACACACTGGGGGGAGGTTAGGTGGAAGGGGGAGGGGAGGAGGGGACAGAGGGTGTACAGAGGGAAAGGGCGGGGGGGAGGTAAGGGCCGAGGGATGGGCGGCAGCGAAGTGAACCAGAGGGATAGCCTTGTCGGAATTTTGAAAGTGCAGGGGGTTGAAGGTGGTGCAGGAGGAGGAGAGGGAGGTGCGAGCAGCAGGCGCAGGGCACGTGAGAATAAGGGGCGTAAAGGCCGAGAAGAGGAGGCTGGGGCGAGGTGGGTTGAAGGAAACAGGGCATTGCGGGGGAGAGGACTCACGTCTTTTGTGTCTGGCCGTTCTTCTTACGGAACTCTGCTGACCTGCATGTGGAGACATGTGTGGGGCATGTGGAGATATTCAGTGGAACACACTTGGCAAAAAACACATGTAAGATGACATGCTACTGTAAAGTAGCAAGCCCTAATCCTCACTTCACAGCCCCCTACCTCACCCTCCTCTTTCCCTACTCTCCAACTCCTCTTCCCCTCTCAAAAGCGTACCTCTTGACAGCAGCAGCAGCCACGGTGGCCAGGATCTGCTGCTGCCGCCTCCCCCGCAGCTCCTCCAGCTTCATGGCAATCGCCGCAATGTCTCTCTGCACCGCCGCCTCCCTCTCCTGGTCGTACTCGCACGTACCAACTCGCACACTCCCCCCAAAGATCCCCTCCCCCCATTTCTCCTCACCCCGTTTCCCCTCATCCCGTTTCTCCTCCCCCTGTTCCCTAACCCCCAACCCACCTCTTGACAGCAGCAGCGGCCACAGTCGCCAGGATCTGCTGCTGCCGCCTCCCCCGCAGCTCCTCCAGCTTCATCGCAATCGCCGCAATGTCTCTCCGAGCCGCCGCCTCCCGCTCCTGGTCGTACTCGCGTGTGCCGTCCCCCACCACCTTCTCCCCCGCGTCCTGCATCGTCAGGTCCAGCGTCGTGTGCACCTGCAGCCCGCCCCGCACCACCTCCTCGCGCCCGTACCTCTGCGCCAGCTCGTATAACACCTGGGTGGGGCGGGGGGGGTGGGGAGAAGGGCGTGGGGGGGAGGGGAAAGGCGTGGGGGAGTGGGCGGAGAGCGTGAGGGAGAGGGGGATGGGCGTGAGGGGGCAGGGAGGGAAGAGAGGCAGAGCGAGCTCCAACCCACTCAGGGCTCGTCCATCACACGTGCCATTCCCCACCCACCTTCACACGTGCCATTCCCCACCCACCTTCACACGTGCCATTCCCCACCCACCTTCACACGTGCCATTCCCCACCCACCTTCACACGTGCCATTCCCCACCCACCTTCACACGTGCCATTCCCCACCCACCTTCACACGTGCCATTCCCCACCCACCTTCACACGTGCCATTCCCCACCCACCTTCACACGTGCCATTCCCCACCCACCTTCACACGTGCCATTCCCCACCCACCTTCACACGTGCCATTCCCCACCCACCTTCACACGTGCCATTCCCCACCCACCTTTCTCCCCCGCATCCTGCATAGTGAGGTCCGCGTCGTGTGCACCTGAAACCCCCCTCCCTCTCGCCCCTCCCCACGTCCTCACCATCACCTTTCCCTGCACCGCACCGCACCGCACTGACGGAGAAGCGCGCCCGCCACAGCCCACACGCCCCATGCTTGCCCTCCCGCCCCACCCGCAGTGGCTGGTTGCAAACCACCTCCCCCTCCCCCTCCCCCTCCCCCACCTCCCCAGCACACCTCTCACCTCGCTGACAAAGAAGGGCGCTCGCCACGGCCCCGACGTGCCGTGCTTGGCCTCGGATCCCAGGCGCAGCGGCTGCTGCATGGCCTCCGTGGCCGTGGCAATGTCCAGAAATCCGGCTTCCACCATTCGCCTCAGCGCCCGCGCCTGGGGCTTGCGACCCCTGTAGGGAGACAGAGCGGCAGCGAGGCGGGAATGGAATGGGGATGAGGATTCGAGAGGGATCTGCTAGGGAGGTGCCTCACGAATGCCATAAAGTGGCATGGCATCGGTGGTCGTGGCAATGTAGGGGAGGGGTAGGGGGAGTGCGCTATTGAGGCGCCTCACGAATGCCGTGAGTGGCATGGCATGGCATGGCATGGCATGGCATGGCATGTCATGGCCTCAGTGGCGATGTCCCGAAAGCCCGCTTGAACCATGCGCCTGGGGCTTGCCGCCCCTGCAAGGGGGGGTCGGAGTGATTGGAGGATACACACAGGAGGGCACATCCGGGGCAGGTGTGGCGGCGGAGAGGGGGATGGGGATATGGATGGGGGATGGATTGGGTAGGTGGTGGCTGGAGGGGCAGGTCGTGCCTAAGGGGTGTGTAGCATCTGACAGCAGAGGTCATGCAGGTTTCATTATACAAAGTGGCACATACCTGGAGGGGTCGCGGTAGGGCGAGAGGAGCTCGGGCGCGGGGATGATACCGGCCAGCATGGCGCACTCGCCCAGCGTGAGCAGCGACGGGTGCTTTCCAAAGTAGAGCGCTGATGCCGCCTCCAGTCCCGTCACCCCGTGGCCCCAGTAGATCTGCAGGCGACAGACAACGGACAGACAGCAGGGAGCAGAGCAACAGAGAGAGAGAGAGAGAAGCAGAGAGGCACAGTGAGTCCTCAGCCCCGTCACGCTGTAGCCCCAGATCTAACGGTGGGGCACTGGGGCACCGGGCATGAGGCAACAGACAGGACGACAGGCAGCCATGCGCGGACAGCAGAGAGACAGTGCGCCCCGCCACGTCATCCCGTGGCCCTTTTGAGTCGACTCAAAAGGAGCCCCGCCACGTCATCCCGTGGCCCCAGTAGGTCTGAAGGTGGCTGTGGCTGACCTTATTGAGGTAGAGGTGCAGGATGTCCCACTTGGTCATGCGCCTCTCTATAATCACGGCCAGTATGATCTCCACCAGCTTGCGCGTCCACCGCCGCTCGTTCGACAGAAACACGTTCTTCACCAGCTGAGAGGGGGAGCGAGACGCGGGGGCGAGAAGGTTGCGGAAGGAAGAGGAGGGGGAGACGCGGCAGGGTGGGCGGGGGAGAAGCGCAGGAGAGTGAGCTCACAGCCGCTCGTTCAACACACACACCTTCTTCACCAGCTCAAGGGGGAGGGGCGGCGGGGGGCGTGTGGCAGGGTGGGTGGGTGGGGGAACAAGGGCTGGAGGAGTTGGATTGTGCCTCCTCGTTCGACAGAGGAGCAGAAGGAGGGCGAGGAGGTTGGGAAACGACGAGCGAAGGCCCACAGCAAGCGGCATTGGCGTGCAGGTTACCCGGGTGTGCAGAGGGGGAAACAAGCGTCTGCACGCCACTTTCACCCTTACACTTCACCGTCCACATTCCACGCTTCGCCTTGTTCAATTGTACCTTAAATGCTTAACTCTCTCTTTAGGAATTTCAGTGCCCGTCCGCCCCACCCGTCCGCCCAACCCGTCCGCCCTGCCCGTCCGCCCTCCTCGCACACCACCCCTCACCTGCTGCGTGATCGTACTCCCGCCTCCCGTCCGCGCCAATGACATGATGGCACGTGTCAGGCCCTTGGGATCGAACCCCTGGTGTTCGAAGAACCGTCGGTCCTCCGTCGCGATAACCGCCTGCCACATCACCGCCGGCACTTCCGTCGGCTTCAACGGCGCCTGCCCCTTGCTCGCGTCCTTCCGCCGGCCGCCGAACCCGCCGGGAACGACGGTGGCGATTAAGTCGCCGTGGCAGTCGTAGATGGCGGTGGCTCGGCGCGCTTCGACGGCCGTCTTGGGGTCGAAGTGCGGCTGCTCCGCGAACAGCTTCTTCCAGCGCGACAGGAAGTCCGGGGGGAGCGCGGACAGCAGCATGCGGAGAAACGCCGCCGCTCCGCCGAACGCCAACGCGAGCGCAACGGACTGGATCGACACCCGCAGAAACTTATTGTCGCTCGCTCCGCCTCCCCCGCCGCTTTCTGCGCCGCCAGACGCGGCTCTAGCGGAAGCGGAGTTTGCAATTGTTAAAGGTGCTTCTGGCGAGCGGCATGGCGTGGCTGTATGTGCTGCTACAGTGGCCTGGGGCGGTAGGACGTGAAATTCGGATGTAGCTGGATCCTGGACCAGCATAAGTGGGCCATACTTAGGCTGCCTGTGGCCGTTCGTCGGTTCTGATTGGAGGAGAGCTAATTGAGCTAGCATGGCTGACATTTTAATGGCGGACTTGGAGCGACGTGACACGTGTGAAGTTGACTCAAACGAGGGCTGAGTGTGCTGCTGTAGGGAACGGAGAATCTGCGGCAAGTGTAAGGAGCGCAGCAGCGCGGCTTCCACGTGGCGAGCTGACGACACGCGATCGTTACTCGCCTCATGGTTTCTGGGTGGCTCTTTGGCATGACCCGCGCACCAACCAGGTGCTGGCACCTGGCTAATCGCAGTTGCGGATTGCATCGTACCTGCCTAACGTCGTCAACTCAAATCTGCCCTAATCCTATCCTCTCGCCAGGCTGATATCCCAGCGAAACTATGACTTCGAACTGCACCTACGTTCCGTCACCGCGACGCATGGACATGCATTTGGACCAATAACTGCATCACGCACTATAAGGTCCTGATTCTCGTCACGCAGCGCGGCTTCTACGATGCACACTCTAAAGGCTAATGCGTTCTAAAGCACAGAACACAACTGGTGCCCAAAGGAAGTGAGAGTTGTAGGGGAGAAATAGTCCAGGAAACCTGCCCAGAATCCGGAAAAGCGTCTCGGAATCTGAATCATATTCGCGCAGTCGAACCGTTCTCGAGAAAGCAGTTGAGGGGGGGAACTCGGGACAAGAGGGAGACATGGTGGACTGACAAAAAGGGATGCCGAGGAAACTCCGAACCTCGCGGGCACAGGGAGTTGCTACTGTATCTGTTCTGGGTTTGCTGCGCGAAGCTAGGCGACTGGTTTGGAAAGCGCTTTGGCGCGAATCGAATGGGAGCCGAGCGCGAACAGAGCTGGTCAGAGAACAGATTATACTCGATAACAACTTTATAAGCATTTCGTTATTAGAGATACGTAGTATTTCAACATATGTACGTGTCTTTCAAACCCCTTTTACTTCCATATACGGTACCTTTTATACTGGATGTCCCACCCTAACATCTCAGTCTACATGCTTTTTCCTACCTAATGCATTAAAGATTCCTTGGCTGCATACATCTCTCAACACAGGTATCACTCCCATCCACTTCACAGTTATTAGAGGCACATAAAACATCATAACAGATACAAGATGCATTCAGACCAATTATTCCATCACTAACTTACAGTACATCTGATTCTAAACTTTAGCCGTAGCACCTGATGGGATCCGTGCAACCCTTCGCAGCTGATTGCCCCATGCCAAACCTCCCACCCTTGGCAAGATACTGTTGATGGTAGCTCTCAGCAGGGTACCACTTCTTAGCGGGCATAATCTCCGTCACTATCTTCCTTCCAATCTGAGCCTGCCTCGCCTCCAGCGACTTCTTCGCAATTTCCTCTTGCTCAGGAGAGAAAACGTAGATCCCTGAGCGGTACTGCGTCCCCGTATCACCACCCTGGCGGTTAAGCGTGGTTGGGTCGTGCCTGTTCCAGAACACGTCTAGCAGACCCTCGTAGGACACCTCCTTGGGATCGTACACCACTCTCACTGCCTCTACGTGCCCTGTGCGCCCAGAGCATACCTGGTGGACACGAGGGAAGGCAAAAAGGGACCACAATTTAAATACCATCCACGTAATCACACGTGAATCTAAAGGTAGATAGTCAGCGAAGATGCTTCTGTTCAATCGAAGTAGAGAAACGGACGTTTATGCTTATTTCAAAGTGGAGAAATTTCAGACAAAAAGAAATAAATCTCTTACCTGCTCATATGTGGGCTTGTCATTCACGCCTTGCGTGTATCCAACCTCCGTCCTGCACGCGCAGCGAGGAAACAGCGATGTTAGTCATTCATGGGCACTAGGACCATGCTTTTCACTTTCCAAAGACCCGATCAGCCAACTGGTAATTGACCACACTGGGGGCGATTGTATTGAACGCATATATAAATTGCTTTACATTCACATACTCCAGTAGTACTGTGTTTTTACCAAGATCTCAAAACACTCTCCGACATGAAGCAATACCATCACATACTTACTTGACCACACCGGGGACCCGCTGGAAGGCGAGCTCGACGCCCCAGAAGCAGCCAGCGCCAAACTCGGCGAACTGCAGCCCCGCGCCGGGGTTGTCCGTGTCCGGCTCCTGCGCCACTCCTGCCGCCGCCATCGGCGCTGCTGGCTTGCCCCACCCGGTGAAGGAGAAGAGCGATTCCGTGGTGACCGGCTGCGGGAGGCGAGAGAGAGAGACGCAGGAAATCAAAAGAAAATGAGCATGATACGAAGTCCGCGTGATCCAAAGGACGAACCCACTAATTCACATGCGGATAATCCAACACAGGGGAATCCACGAGAAAATTCACCTCTTGCAAAATCAGTTCAGAGCGCGCGATCGGTAACGTTGCGACGAATGAGAGAAGGAGAGGGAGCGCAAAACGAACCCTGGAAGACTTCACGAATGCGACTGGCACGACGGTGGATGCGAGCAGGCCTTTATGCCCGCCTAGGAAATTCGCCGAGCCGAGGCGACGAGCAGCGGCGCCACGGGCGTTGGTGGCGAGAGAGGTGGCGAAGGACGCGCAGGTTTCGGCGGAGGCGACAGGAAGCGTCAACATGGCGGCCGTAAGTTGGGATAGCTGCGCGAAGCTGAGCGTGTGAGAGTGAATTTGCTGAGAGTCAGGCGGTAGGAAGGGAGGGGTGAGGGAGGAATTTGATGCTTGCGGAAATGGGCAGTGTCTTGGGGTGTGGGGTGAGGTGGAATGACGGTGCTTCTGTGAGCAGCCGTGGCAGTGCATGGAAGCACAGAAGGGACACGCTGGACAAACTGATGATGGAGATTGTCATGGTGGTGACGCAGATGCTCTTGTGGCCTTCCACGTCGTCCATTACCTCCACCAGCAACCTAGATTCTTCTTTGTTGTTGTACTCGATTTACAATAAACCAAAGTTAACTTCAGATGCTTGAAATCATATGGTAAAACACTATGCACCCGCTGCACCCCAAATACTTGCATTAGTTTTCCGTCTCCAAGCCTGACGCCTGGCCAGTAAACGCGGGATCAGACAAGTCATTAGACGTGTCAGGGGTTTACTTTCTGACAGCTTGGACAGATCTGCGTCCGCTGGCCATTCCTATTCGTCACACGCCAAGGTGGTCCCAGATGCGGTTTGAAACCCATCAATTCATCTCATCCATCCGAACCGACCAGTTTCCAAACCCGCTAGCGTTGCATGGCATGAATTTGCGGATCTGCTGCACTGTGCGGCCGCCGAAACTCATGTACAGAACAGGATATGATGCTGCTCACGGCATCCATGACCCATCATACCTTTCCCGCCATTTTCACACTCAGCAGGCTCGTCATTTTAAAAATGTGCCGGTTGCTGTGGTGCCGAACCACCCGACACAATACTTGCGATCAGTGCGATCACATGTGATGGCTGCCATGCGGCCCTCGCGACTCATGCGACATACACTGCGTCGAATCGTCGCACCACCACCGACATACCAACCATCCATTTCCTATCATAAGAGCCAACCACGACCGTGAGTGGCGCCATTTCATTGCTATATATGCAGCTGCCTAGCACGCTCCTTTACATAATAGAAAGTTTAGGCACTGATCTGTAGGTTGTCGGCTAACTGCGTCTCTGACGACTCCTATCCCTACCAGTCTTTGCTTTGCTTTTGCTTGTTGTATTGTTCTGCTTTTCAGCACATTTGCGTGACTCGTATTCAGAATTTGTAACATGTCGACTTCGTACCAAATATCGTCGCCGAGGCATGACGCAGCGCCGATCACGCTCCGCGCGTGCAGAAGGAGCGAGGGCGCCGCGGAGCCCGCGATCGACGTCTGCGTGCGGTACCCGCACGAGCAGGCGCGGTCGAGCTTCGTGATTGGTCGGAGCGGCGAGATCACGGTGGTGTGTCGCGTGAAGCAGGTTCGTTGGAAACCAGTTCTCGTGTTCCAATGGCCGCCCAAATCCTCGAGCCTCGATCTGCTCGTCGAGCCGGCGGTCAGCGCGACTAGTAGAATAGCTAGTAGACTTAGGAACCTTTCGATAGGAAACCAGACAAGCTTCGAGAGCGTAGAGACGCGACTTAGGGAACACCGGCTGGTCGCAGGAGCGGCGAGCTTCGTGCATGGACGACTGACGGCACTCGGGAGGCAGACGAAGCTCGCGTCGTCGCTAAAGGTCAGTTGCCAGTTACGAACCAGTCTTTACTGGTCCAATGTGATTATCATTGATTTCCAGGTTGTGATGATACCCGCTCTAGTCCGTCTCGCATTCCGCCTCATTCCCATTCCCCTTGACGACCTTGTCTCTTTCTCTTCTCGCAGGACCCGCAGGCGGCTTTATCCGCTGCGGCGACGCAGCTTCTAACGAGAGCGCAAGGCGAACCTCTACGCCAGCGTAAGTTACCGTTTTTTTCTCCGAATCTTGAACCCTCTCCCTTCGTACCACTCCTCCTTTTTCACGTGTCACTCTTATCTCCAGTTCCCGCACTCACGCGCGATTTTCCCGATTCTTTGTGACTTGCAGTGGCAGCGGCGCACGGGCGACTAAGTCGAGGGGTGGCGACCCTGACGAGTCGCATCGTGTCGCACGCGCTGGGGCTGGAGAGGGACCTCAGCAAGGAGCAGTTCGCGGCGCTGCTGCCACCTGTGAGCCCCGCTGCTGTCACTTTAACCCGATCCTTGTTGCCCGAGCGCGAATACTCACTGCGAAGGCTGCTTCCATGCTGTCACTGTTTCCAAACCCTACCTATTTCCCTCACAAACGCCCTCGTCCTCCGATTGCATTGCCCCCCATTCCCGTCTAACCCCTGCTCCCTCCCTTTTCTCCCTGCCCCCTAATCCATGTCCAGTCCGTTTACGTGGACGGTCATATCCTCGCCGTGCCGCAACGCGCGGCGGCCGCTGCGTCGGCGGCGCTGAACACCCTGGCGACCGCGGCTATCGACCCCGCGTCGCTGCGGCTCGGCCACAGAGGCGACCCGCTCGCGTCGGCTGCCGCCGCCGCCTCCGCGTCCGAGTTCCCCGCCGTACCCGGCGGGATTTTCGCGCAGCGGAGCCGGATCGCGGCGACGGTGGGGCCGTTCGGGCTCCCCGTCACCGGCGGGTGGCTGTCGTCGCGCTACGGGTGGCGCGAGGCGCGCAAGAAATTCCACAAGGGGATCGATATAGCCGTTGAGGAGAACACGCCGGTGGTTGCGGCGCAGGCGGGGCGAATCTCGTTCGCGGGATGGCGGAAGGGGTACGGATACGTGGTGGTGGTCGATCACGGGAAGGGGTACTCGTCGCTATACGCGCACTGTAACCGGTTCGTGGCGCGGAAAGGGGAGGCGGTGGGGAAGGGGCAGGCGATCGCGCTGTCGGGAAACACGGGGCATTCGACGGGACCGCACCTACACTTCGAGATTCACCGGCACGGGTCGCCTGTGGACCCGCTGCTGCTGCTGCCCGCGGAAGCCGCGCGCACGGAGAGATAGGCGCGGTGGGGTGCAATGGGGTGGAGTCTGTTGGACGGAGCGAGGTGACGTTGAGGAGGGGGGAGAAGAAGCAGGATGATGACAGACAGGGATGGGCGGCGGTTGGTGTAGGGTGGACAGCTGAGGAGGAGAGAGGGGTGGAAGTGGATGTGAGGAGGGGGGAGCAGGGGAGTGGGGGCTAGAATGGGGAACGGATGGATGAGGAGATGGATGGGCATGGTTAGAAGCTGACCCGTAACAGATGCATAGGAGCCATGGCACGGCAGCATGATTGGTGTAGTGTAGTGTAGTGTGGTGTTTAGCGCTGTCATGTGGGGTGGATGACTAGGAGGTGGTTGATTTCCAATTTTGCCTGTTGAGCTGGCAGGCTCGGCAGGCTCGACAGGCTCGGCAGGCCCGGTACGACAAGAGTGCTGGTGCCCTGTGCTTGCCTCTGATAGGATTCTGTTGCCTTGTCTCCTCTTTGTATATTGATTTCATTATTATTGAATCAAAGTGGAAGTGCAAGCAGCGAGTGAGCCATGATGGTGTGGTTGAATCAGTCTCTGGGAGCAGGTGGAGGAGGTGTTGTGCTGCACTGTGCAATGAGGAATGTTCCACGGTACTGGAACTGGTATGTATGCAACCCGGTAGAAGGCATATGGGATGATAGAAGGCACCGTCACTACAGTAGCTACCAGAGGCACGATGCGTGATTCACTGCAAACCGCACTGAAGGCAGTGCAACAGCCCCCCCCTGCCTCCACCTGAGCATGTGTGTTACAGCCCTGCAATGACTCGTACAACCGTATACCATGTGTGGTGGTGGTGCGTCTTTACTGCTCTGTTCAATGCAGTTCACATGGGTGCTGCAGAATGAGCCAGTCTTCTGAGTAGAGGGAAGCAAGAGTACAGCTAAGGAGGGACTTGCAAGAGTGTGGGCAGGCATAGAAAGGCACAAGGGGCCCTCCGAGAAGCACAGGCAAGGGTCAGAGAGGGGCTATGGGGGGCAGTGCAGTCATACCTCAATCTCCAAGGCACTCTGTTGATAAAATGCGAAGCATACACAACGAGACTAGCAATGATAGGAAGTTAGGGCGTTTTCCTGACTTCGTGTCATCCGGTCTTTGTGTCATCCGAAATTGTGGAATCTAATCAGAAAATTCGCAGTTTAAGCTTTGGGCTTTCCGATAGGATCCCACAATTTCGGATGACACAAAGACTGGATGATACGAAGCTAGGAATGAGCCCTTAGAATATCTAAAGGCTGCAAGGCAGAGTACCGACAACCAACCTACTATGTGAAATACTGTCTTGCAGGCTGACACACCTTTCTTACTTTTTTCAACTCCGCGGCTTGCTCTTTCAGAGTAGCCTTTAGAAGGGCTATTCTTGGGGTGATCTGGAACATTAGTGGCCAATACTTTCCTGTTACTGCAAATGCCAAAAAACGTAAAACAGGGAGGATGTCAATGAAACAGGAGCAGCTCAAGTAAGGGTGGAGGGGAGACCGGGAGAAGAGTTGGGAGAGGAGGGGGAAAGAGAAAGGAAGTTGAGATGCGACAGCCGAGCTAACTGTGTAGACAGTAGAGGACTGCAATGCATACACCATTATGAACTTCTTACCGAATAGATGGTTGTGCTTGGCGTCCCATGCGATCCCGTTCAACACGTCAAGTTCCTGACAGAAGCAACGAAGCAGTCAGACAGGGGCATCATCCATCAGAATTCCACCAATGTGCCTTGCCCCATGCCATACAAGCCACGCCATATGCACTTCATTTGAATTTCGAGACGACTCAAAAGTCCGCCGTATGCACTTCACCTGGTCTGCACTTGCCTTTGCCATCCTAGGTCACAACCCGCGCAAAGCATAGCCACTAATGCTTGTTCCATGTGCATCAACGAACATGCTAAGGACGTGGAAAACTGTGAAACCTGGCCATCGAAGCGGAGGCCATTTCCACAGACCACTCACACGTGCGTTGAGTTCGTTTGATCTTGCTTGCGCTAGACGCCTGCAGGGATGAGGCGGGAGGGGAGGAAGCACGTGGGCAGTGTGTGTACTCACTACGCAAATGACCTTTCTACCGAAACCTTGAAAAGTTTTACTTCATTTCTTAGATTTCATGTATCTGAGCAAAAATTCTAACGAACCCTTCTACCGAACCTTGATCAGACGTAAATAGAAAAAAATCAATATAAGCGGTCCAACATCTTGCCTTCTTTGGATAATCAATGGTTGTTAGGTTTCACAGAAGCAGAAGGTTGTTTCACTATAAGCTTATTAAGTAATTCTAAAGCTTTTAGAACAAGGTTTATTCTCTCTCAAAAAGGAGATGTTAATTTACCTATTCTAAGTCATTTGACTCTTTTGTTTTGTGCAATGCTACCATGAGTAGCACGAGGCGAGTGGTGGGCGCAGTGCAGCCTCAACAACAGCGACTCATAGAAGGGTCCAGCCACGCAAGCACCGGGGTGGATGGCGGCAAGGCAGGTGGAGAGGCCCACGTGGACAAGGGGCACGCTTTGTTGACAGGCTACTTAACGGAAAACCAACTCACTGCAGGGAAGAGAGGTCCAGCCACGCGAGCACTTTGCCAGTGTCAGGGTGGATGGCGGCGAGGCAGTTGGAGAGCCACACGTTGGCCCACACGAGCCCCCTCACCACCTCCAGCTCGTTCAGATTCGGTATGCTCCTCTTTCCGTCCTTCACTGTCACGCGCGCCACGGCTGAGACGGTGGGGGAGATGTGAGGGGAGTAAGGGGCAAACTTTGAAGGATGAGAGCTAGGAGATGGAGGAGAGTGGAGGAGCCGTCAGTGTTGACTGACAGCGATGGAGATTAAAAGAGACGTCGCAAAAGGGACCCTCGGGCAAGTAAAAGAAACCTTTGAAGGTGGAGGGGTGGAGACGGAAGAGTAGAAGGAACCTTTGAAAGACGAGGAGTCGAGGTGGAAGAGAGTGGAGTCGAGGTGGAAGAGAGTGGAGTCGAGGTGGAAGAGAGTGGAGTCGAGGTGGAAGAGAGTGGAGTCGAGGTGGAAGAGAGTGGAGTCGAGGTGGAAGAGAGTGGAGTCGAGGTGGAAGAGAGTGGAGTCGAGGTGGAAGAGAGTGGAGTCGAGGTGGAAGAGAGTGGAGTCGAGGTGGAAGAGAGTGGAGTCGAGGTGGAAGAGAGTGGAGTCGAGGTGGAAGAGAGTGGAGTCGAGGTGGAAGAGAGTGGAGTCGAGGTGGAAGAGAGTGGAGTAGCCGTCTGTGCCGACCATAACCGACTCGTTGAGCACTGCCAGGCCCCACCCGTGCAAGTTTTGAGGCGCCTCAAAACTCGCCTCATCTAGCCTTTGCGGTGCCTCAAAGCTGCTCTCATCTAACCTTTCAAGGAAGATGAGTCGAGATGGAAGAGCGTGGAAGAGCCGTCAGTGCCGACCATGACCGACCCGTTGAGCACAGATAGGCCCCACCCGTCTGCCATGCCGTGCTGGAAGCTGCCTGGAAGCAGCGGGGGTGAACGGGAGGGCAGGGATGCCAGGCGATATGAGGGAACGGGAGGAACGCTTTTGAGAGTTCAAAACACGCAATACAGAATGACACAGTATGCATGAGATGGTGTGGCACGGTGTCGCACATCATGGCATGGCATGGCATGGCATGGCATGGCATGGCAGCGACTGGCAGAGCGCTGAGCGGCACGTGACGGCTCACATCATACATATGACAGAGATCCAAGAACTGCTCCCCGTACCCATAACACCACCCATCCCCCTTCCCTTTTCCTCCCTTTATCTCACCCCGTGGTTGCAGTGTCTCTCTGTCGTACACCAAACCTGACCGTACCCGCCAGGCCAACTGGTACAGCCTGCGTGGTTCACAAAGGGGTACAGAGGAAGGAACAACGGGGCCAAAGGGTGAAGAGCGGTGCAAAGGAATCTCAGAGTTGTGTACCTCTGTCATACACGAGCCCTGATTTCGCATGCCAAGCCAGCTGGTACAGCCCGGCTCGCATAGCTGTTACTGTGCAGTGCACATGTTATTGTGCACAGTACCATTCTAAACAGTGAAAGTATTACAATGAAGTTCATGCGCTGTTTTGCACCGTACCTGTCGCCATGCAGTGCAAGGCCCTCGCCGAAAACGTCAGCGCTCTGAGGCATGCTGTTGAGCACCTGGGAGGGAGCGAGAGCGAGAGCGAGAGTAGGGGAAGGCACATGAGTGAAAAGAATGTGGGAGGTGTCAGGTCAGGTGGCCGTAGCTGCTGGACCATACCACCTTCCACCAAGCTTAATACAGAGCAAACCGAGCTGGACACTATATGAGGGAACACGATGCCACAACGTGGAACATCTGTGTTGCAGCATGTTGTGGTGCTACAGCTGGTAGCGTAGGGGAGCATGCCACAACATCACCATACCATGCCATGCCACGCCATGCCACGCCAAGCTATGCCATGCGATGCCATGCCATGCCATGCCATGCCATGCCATGCCATGCCACGCCACGCCACGCCACGCCACGCCACGCCATTCTATGTCTTGCCATGCCATGCTATCTGCCATGCAATGGCATGCAGCATACCTCACCAGAGGCCACATCCACCTCCCTCACTGTCGACTGCAACCCGGAAGAAAGGGGGGGTGCATGGGAAAGGAGGATAGGGGCAAGGGGAGAAGGGGAACAGGAACACCGGGGAATGGGGACAAAGGGGGACAGGGGCAGGGGGGACCGAGACAAGAGGAGATGGGGTGAAGGAAGGACCGAAACACAGGATGATGGAGGGGCGAATTGGCCAGACTCAAAGACCACGGGAATGCAGAGGGACAGTGATTCTGTGATTGCCGAGACAGACGTAAATCTCCCTACCCCCAACCCAGTCACACAGACAAGTTCCCTCTCGCCCTTGGGCGAGTTCCCTCCCGTTCACACATGTGCGCCCCACTCACCCGCCCACAGCACATCCTCCCACTCACCCGCCCACAGCACATCCTCCCACTCACCCGCCCACATCACATCCTCCCACTCACCCGCCCACAGCACATCCTCCCACTCACCCGCCCACAGCACATCCTCCCACTCACCCGCCCACAGCACATCCTCCCACTCACCCGCCCACAGCACATCCTCCCACTCACCCGCCCACATCACATCCTCCCACTCACCCGCCCACAGCACATCCTCCCACTCACCCGCCCACAGCACATCCTCCCACTCACCCGCCCACAGCACATCCTCCCACTCACCCGCCCACATCACATCCTCCCACTCACCCGCCCACATCACATCCTCCCACTCACCCGCCCACAGCACATCCTCCCACTCACCCGCCCACATCACATCCTCCCACTCACCCGCCCACAGCACATCCTCCCACTCACCCGCCCACATCACATCCTCCCACTCACCCGCCCACAGCACATCCTCCCACTCACCCGCCCACAGCACATCCTCCCACTCACCCGCCCACAGCACATCCTCCCACTCACCCGCCCACAGCACATCCTCCCACTCACCCGCCCACAGCACATCCTCCCACTCACCCGCCCACATCACATCCTCCCACTCACCCGCCCACAGCACATCCTCCCACTCACCCGCCCACATCACATCCTCCCACTCACCCGCCCACAGCACATCCTCCCACTCACCCGCCCACAGCACATCCTCCCACTCACCCGCCCACATCACATCCTCCCACTCACCCGCCCACAGCACATCCTCCCACTCACCCGCCCACATCACATCCTCCCACTCACCCGCCCACAGCACATCCTCCCACTCACCCGCCCACAGCACATCCTCCCACTCACCCGCCCACAGCACATCCTCCCACTCACCCGCCCACAGCACATCCTCCCACTCACCCGCCCACATCACATCCTCCCACTCACCCGCCCACAGCACATCCTCCCACTCACCCGCCCACATCACATCCTCCCACTCACCCGCCCACATCACATCCTCCCACTCACCCGCCCACATCACATCCTCCCACTCACCCGCCCACATCACATCCTCCCACTCACCCGCCCACATCACATCCTCCCACTCACCCGCCCACAGCACATCCTCCCACTCACCCGCCCACATCACATCCTCCCACTCACCCGCCCACATCACATCCTCCCACTCACCCGCCCACATCACATCCTCCCACTCACCCGCCCACATCACATCCTCCCACTCACCCGCCCACATCACATCCTCCCACTCACCCGCCCACATCACATCCTCCCACTCACCCGCCCACAGCACATCCTCCCACTCACCCGCCCACATCACATCCTCCCACTCACCCGCCCACATCACATCCTCCCACTCACCCGCCCACATCACATCCTCCCACTCACCCGCCCACATCACATCCTCCCACTCACCCGCCCACATCACATCCTCCCACTCACCCGCCCACAGCACATCCTCCCACTCACCCGCCCACATCACATCCTCCCACTCACCCGCCCACAGCACATCCTCCCACTCACCCGCCCACATCACATCCTCCCACTCACCCGCCCACATCACATCCTCCCACTCACCCGCCCACATCACATCCTCCCACTCACCCGCCCACATCACATCCTCCCACTCACCCGCCCACATCACATCCTCCCACTCACCCGCCCACAGCACATCCTCCCACTCACCCGCCCACAGCACATCCTCCCACTCACCCGCCCACATCACATCCTCCCACTCACCCGCCCACAGCACATCCTCCCACTCACCCGCCCACATCACATCCTCCCACTCACCCGCCCACAGCACATCCTCCCACTCACCCGCCCACATCACATCCTCCCACTCACCCGCCCACATCACATCCTCCCACTCACCCGCCCACATCACATCCTCCCACTCACCCGCCCACAGCACATCCTCCCACTCACCCGCCCACAGCACATCCTCCCACTCACCCGCCCACAGCACATCCTCCCACTCACCCGCCCACAGCACATCCTCCCACTCACCCGCCCACATCACATCCTCCCACTCACCCGCCCACATCACATCCTCCCACTCACCCGCCCACATCACATCCTCCCACTCACCCGCCCACAGCACATCCTCCCACTCACCCGCCCACATCACATCCTCCCACTCACCCGCCCACATCACATCCTCCCACTCACCCGCCCACATCACATCCTCCCACTCACCCGCCCACATCACATCCTCCCACTCACCCGCCCACATCACATCCTCCCACTCACCCGCCCACATCACATCCTCCCACTCACCCGCCCACATCACATCCTCCCACTCACCCGCCCACATCACATCCTCCCACTCACCCGCCCACATCACATCCTCCCACTCACCCGCCCACATCACATCCTCCCACTCACCCGCCCACATCACATCCTCCCACTCACCCGCCCACATCACATCCTCCCACTCACCCGCCCACATCACATCCTCCCACTCACTCGCCCACATCACATCCTCCCACTCACCCGCCCACATCACATCCTCCCACTCACCCGCCCAAATCACATCCTCCCACTCACCCGCCCAAATCACATCCTCCCACTCACCCGCCCACATCACATCCTCCCACTCACCCGCCCAAATCACATCCTCCCACTCACCCGCCCACAGCACATCCTCCCACTCACCCGCCCACAGCACATCCTCCCACTCACCCGCCCACAGCACATCCTCCCACTCACCCGCCCACAGCACATCCTCCCACTCACCCGCCCACAGCACATCCTCCCACTCACCCGCCCACAGCACATCCTCCCACTCACCCGCCCACAGCACATCCTCCCACTCACCCGCCCACAGCACATCCTCCCACTCACCCGCCCACAGCACATCCTCCCACTCACCCGCCCACAGCACATCCTCCCACTCACCCGCCCACAGCACATCCTCCCACTCACCCGCCCACAGCACATCCTCCCACTCACCCGCCCACAGCACATCCTCCCACTCACCCGCCCACATCACATCCTCCCACTCACCCGCCCACATCACATCCTCCCACTCACCCGCCCACAGCACATCCTCCCACTCACCCGCCCACATCACATCCTCCCACTCACCCGCCCACAGCACATCCTCCCACTCACCCGCCCACAGCACATCCTCCCACTCACCCGCCCACATCACATCCTCCCACTCACCCGCCCACAGCACATCCTCCCACTCACCCGCCCACAGCACATCCTCCCACTCACCCGCCCACAGCACATCCTCCCACTCACCCGCCCACAGCACATCCTCCCACTCACCCGCCCACAGCACATCCTCCCACTCACCCGCCCAC